AGAACCTCCTAAAGCTCACCACAAGCTTGAAATCTCCTGAAACACAACATTTTACGTTCGCATGAACAGTACCTCAAAAATGGAGGTTCGGGATCTATGTGAAATCGAAGGTTTCACTTCCTAAAACTAGCACCAATGAACTCAGGACGACGAAAGGATGAAGATGCATACCTTATTTGCCCCTCGATCCGTCGAGTTTTGAAGGGTTTTGGGTGAAGGCCGTACGTATAGGGTGAGGGTGAAAGAGAGAGATCGTGAGGGAGAGGGACAGAGAGAGCTACGGGAGGGAGAGAAGACAGGGAGTGCGTGTGTGTGTGATTGTGTGGTCCAACACAATCCTCACCATCCATCCAATTCCCTAACCACAAAAAATTTCCAAATTCCAAAATTAAAATCCCAAAACTTACAAAATTTCAATTTAATGTCGCACACACACGTACCCGAATGTCCAATCAAGGGTAGTTACTGTCAATTCACATTCCCGATATAGAAATCCCGGGGACGGGCTGTGACAATCTCCCCTCCTTATAGAATTTCGTCCCCGAAATTCCCACAATCCAAATTAACCACTTAGTACCCATAAAATAACCTTGGGTACATCTCTCTCATCCGATCTTCCGTCTCCCAGGTGGCTTCCTCTGCAGAATGGTTCATCCACAACACCTTTACCAAACTCACCGTCTTGTTCCTTAGAACCTTATCTTTCCAATCCAAGATAGTGACCGGTTCCTCATCATACGTCAAATTCCGGATTAATCTCTAACGGTTGAGGAGGGATCACATGAGAAGGATCAGAAATATAATGCCGAAGCATAGAGACGTGGAACACATTATGGACCTTAGATAACTCCGGAGGCAGTTCCAACCGATAGGCAACTTCACCAACTCTTTCAGTGATCACATAAGGTCCAATATATCTCGGGCTTAACTTTCCTCTTTTCCCAAATCGTACTACACCTCTCCAAGGCGACAATTTCAAAAATACCCAATCACCCACATCATACACTCGATCAGTAGTATGCCGATCCGCTAAACTCTTCTGTCGATCCTGGGCTGCTTTCAGGTTTGACTTAATTATCTGAACATTTTGAGTCGTCTCATCCACGATCTCAGGGCCTTCTAATACCCGTTCACCAACCTCAGACCAACATAATGGCGTTCGACACGCCCTACCATAAAGTGCCTCGAATGGGGACATACCAATGCTCGAGTGAAAAACTGTTATTATAAGCAAACTCCATTAAGTCCAGACGATCATGCCAAGAATCACCAAATTGCAGTACTGAAGATCTCAACATATCCTTCCAACGTCTGAATGGTCCTCTCTGATTGCCCATCAGTTTGAGGATGATAAGCTGTGCTATACAGTAATTGAGTACCCAGAGCTTCCTGAAAAGCCACCCAAAATTTAGAAGTAAACCTCGGGTCTCGATCGGAGATAATATTTACTGGGACTCCATGATACTTGACAATCTTCGAAATAAACAACTTAGCCAATTTATTCAGAGGGTATTTCTCCCTCACAGGAATGAAATGCGCCGACTTGGTGAGTCGATCCACAATCACCCAAATACCATCAAATCCATTTCGCGTACGAGGAAGTTTATACACGAAATCCATTGGTTATATTTTCCCATTTCCACTGGGGAACAGGAAGGGGTTGCATTCGCCCAAATGGCTTCTTTCTTTCTGCTTTCACTTGCTGGCAAATAATACACCTGCTCACATATTCTGCAATTTCTCTTTTCATACCCGGCCAATAATAAAATGGTCGAATGGTATGATATACATTTTTGTTCCTCCCGGATGCATCGCATAAGCTGAACAATGTGCTTCGTCCAGAATTTCCTTCTTCAATTCCTCATTATTCGGAACATACATTCTGTCTTCTTGCATGAGCATACCGTCTGATTCCCGAATTCTGAGGTCTTTCTTTTTCCCTTCACTTCTTAACTGAACCAACTCCTTGAACTTTCCTCATTCACCATCTGAGCTGCAAGTATACGCTCCACCAAAACTGGCCTGACTTGAAAACTAGCAAGAAAAGCTCCATCCTCGGTCTTTCAATTTCCAACCTTACCCCAGTTGTCCTCAGATTCAGCAAGAAGAGGAACACGACTAGCATATAAGGGCATTAAGTCTACCTTGAGGTTTCCTACTCAGTGCATCCGCTACTACATTAGCACGACCTGGATGGTATTCAATAGAACAATCATAATCACTTAACAATTCCATCCACCTTCGCTGACGAAGATTAAGATCATGCTGAGTAAACAAATACTGAAGACTCTTGTGATCAGTGAAGATCTTACACTTCTCACCATACAAAGTAATGTCCTCCAAATTTTCAAAGCAAAAACAATTGCTGCCAATTCAAGATCGTGAGTAGGATAGTTCCTTTCATGATTTTTTCAACTGCCTAGAAGCATAGGCAATCACCTTATTATGCTGCATCAAAACACATCCCAAACCATTTAATGAAGCATCACTATATATCTCAAAATTACCGCTATCGTCGGGAAGTACCAACACCGGTGCATGAGTGAGGCAATACTTCAATTGTTGAAAACTCCGCTCACAATTCTCATCCCACTCAAATTTAACATCCTTCCTGGTCAACTTTGTCAACGGTAAAGCAATCATAGAGAAATCCTGAACGAACCGTCGATAATAACCTGCTAAGCCAAGAAAACTTCGTACCTCCGTGACGGTTCGAGGTTGCTCCCAATTCTCCACTGCTGCAATCTTTTGAGGATCAACTTGAATACCTTGAGCTGATACAACATGCCCCAAAAATGCCACTTCAGTCAACCAAAACTGACATTTACTGAACTTGGCATACAACTGATGCTCCCTTAATTTCCTTAACACCAAATTAAGGTGTCGGATATGATCTGCTTGGGACTTAGAGTATACCAGAATATCATCAATAAAAACAATAACAAATTTATCAAGATATTTCTGGAATACCTCATTCATTAATCTCATAAAAGCTGCAGGTGCATTAGTCAACCCAAACGGCATAACCGAAAATTCATAATGTCCGTACCGAGTTCGGAAAGCCGTCTTAGGTACATCGTCTTCTTTAATCTTCAATTGATAATACCCGGATCTCAAATCAATCTTAGAAAATACACACGCACCTTTCAGCTGATCAAACAAATCATCAATGCGGGGCAATGGATAACGGTTTTTAATCGTTACCCGGTTCAATTGTCTATAATCAATACACAATCGAAAGAGTTCCATCCTTCTTCTTCACAAATAATACTGGGGCACCCCAAGGTGAAGAACTAGGTTGAATAAAACCTTTATCAAGTAATTCTTGCAACTGGATTTTTAATTCCCTTAACTCAGCAGGAGCCATTCTATAAGGAGTCAGAGATATAGGGTCCGTACCTGGAAGCAAATCAATAGAGAATTCCACCTCTCTGTCTGGCGGCAATCCCGGCAAATCATCAGGGAAAACATCCGGATAATGTCTGACCACACCAACTTCTTCTATACTAGTAGGAGCAACATCATTTAATACCACATGTGCCAAATATCCCTGACAACCCTTCGATAATAATTTCCTCGCCCTTATGGCAGAAATAACTCCATGTCTCACCCCACTTCTCTCGCCCACAAAAATAACCTCGGGTAATCCAGGACGATAAAAAGTAACTGATTTACCATAACAATCAATATGGGCACGATTATGGTGTAACCAATCGGCCCCTAAAATCACATCAAAATCCACAATATCTAACGGAATAAGATCAGCGGACATAATCACGCCCTCAACCATCACTGGACACCCCAGATACACACTATCCACAATACATTTATCTCCTCTAGGCATGGCAAACTCTAAATCAAATCCTAGAGGTGAAGGGTGAGGTTGGGTTATTTGAGCAAACGTATGAGAAATCACAGAGTGCGTAGCGCCACAATCAATCAAAACCTTAGCAAAATGACCAAGAACATTTAACGTACCCATTATCAAGTCTGGATGGTTCTGAGCCTCCTGCAGGGACAATATGATTAACTCGCCCCTGAGCTTGCTGACGTCCACCTCGGCCTCTATTGCCCTGATTACCTCGTCCCTGGCCTGGCTGACTAGGCTGCCTGGATGATCCTGCACCACCAGTAGCAACTTCCCCCTGACGGGGCTGGCCTCCCTGATGCCACTGCGATCCACCAGCTGGCATAGAGGAATAAGAAGAATAACCTCCAAAATCCTGAGAATACCCTGCCTGAGGATAAGGCTCCTGAGAATACTGATAAGGTCCGGAAGCATACGGAGCAGCATCCCCCTGATAGTGGTAGGCACCACCACGACTCGGCTGGCCATAACCACCCGGTCCCAAAACTCTGCTGAACTGGTGCTGGAGGTGGCATATTAGTCTGCTGCGGTCTCTGCTGACCCTGGGGGCACTGAGAAGCCCGATGTCCCATCTGTCCCACACGTAAAAACAAGGCACCAGAACCTCTCCTACACTCACCATGGTGACGGGAGTTACAACGGCGGCACCATGGAGCGCCAGATCCACCAGCATCCCTCTGACCCTGAAATCTGGGTCCACCAGAAAATCTTCCACCACCTCTCCTCGGGCCAGTAAAACTATATCCCCCACTAGAAGAACTCGAACTCGCTCCACTCTTCTTAAAAACTCTGTGTCTGTCGAGGTCCAGGAATAGAAATACCCTTACCCTTATCATTCTTCTTCTGACCCTCATTCTTGTCCTCGTCATCCTCACTGTCAGGAAGATTATCAGAGTCCTCCATCCTAACCAAAATCTCGAAATACTCATGATAATCAGCGCAGGGAAGTGCATTGGCAAAGGTACGCCACTTCTTCTTAGATCCCAACTTGAAACGTCGAAGCATCTCTCCCTGATTACCAGCTATATCAGTGTCATAACGAGACAAATCAGTAAACTTTCTATAATATTCATGTGCCGACATATTTCTCTGTTTCAACCTGGTGAATTCCTGCTTCTTACGGTCAATATACTCAGGAGGAACGAAATCTCTTCATAAAATGCTCCTTGAATACTTTCCAGTCGGCTGCCGTCTCAGGTGACATGTACCTAGCCTGATTTATCCACCATGCTGCTGGTTCACAACCCAGAAACCAAGTGGTGGTCTCCACCCACCTATTAGCAGGGAGATTCCCCTGACTCTGCATCACCTGAAAGGTTTTCTCAATATGATCAAGCCATTTCTCTGCCCCCTCATGACTTTCATTACCCATAAACCGATCTAACTTCAAGTTGTACATGGTCTCCAGAGGTGTCCTCGGAGGAGGGGGAGGACGAATCACATTCTGTAAAGCCTGGGCCATCGCTTCCCCTAACTGAGTAATATCTGGGAAATTAGGTTCAGGAGTACGGCGGGACTCCCTACGCTCTCTACGAGGCGGCATGATTCTGACAGAAAACATCAAAAAGATCGTTAAGACATTAACAATTTTACAGGACTGCAACCTAAGCTCTGATACCAAACTGACACACCCTGATCCGGAGGATCCAGGTGTGCTGGCCGTCACGTGGGCGTGACGTAACCATAAGCACGACACGGAAGCGTAATAACAACAGAAATTCAACCCAAACTCAACATAACCACATACGGACATAACCGGACGAGTTTACAAGTAAACACATAAGTTCAGAGCATAGGTTAACTGCAGTCAAGTAGGACTAAAATAAGAATACATCACCCTCAGGTGAGTCCTACATGTCCCAAATCTGTCAGAAAGCCGGAAAGGACCTCGTGAGCCAACCACCGCTAAACTAGAACCTGGAGGGGCGCAAAACAAAATGAGTGGGTCAGTAAAACAAATTAGTTTTCCAAAACATTTCATTAAAACAGTTATATCCCCTCGCCGTAAAAACCTGTATACTTTCCCAGAAATATATATAACCATATAAAATCTCAACATTTAAATCTCAAATCTTTAACATTTTCAAGAAAACATGCCATGACATAAATAAAAAATATAAATCAGGTGAAATAAGGAATCAATCGGAGACCCTGCAGTTGGTCCTATACGATTAATTCAATAGCTCAAAAATCCCACTAAGCCGGAGTCACCACAGTGACCTATACGGCCCTACTCTGCACATCACTCGGAACTACGTAAGGTAGTCTATACGATGAAAGGTGTAAAAATACGCTCTAGTGCTTCTCTCATCATATCATCAGCGCGCATAACTAAGGTCACCCACTAGTCGGAATCACGCCTAGTGATCTGTACGACTAGCATGTCGGAACCCTCACATGGTCTGTACGACATCCACCTACTTGGATCCAAGACGAGCGTGCGGTGTGGTGAATAATATAAGCACTAACACCTAGGGTGCAGATTATGAGCTCAACTCATCTCAACAACAACAATTCAATGAATAAATGAACTCACCTGACTTACCTGTGCCTCCACAGCACCATGCAACATGTATGCATCATATTTCAATCATATAGTTCATAAACCAATTCATGATTTTCAAATAATTCTATGCATGGCATATTCAAAACATATTTTCATATAAACATTTTTCTGGGAAAAACAGTAGTATATAGGTAATACGAAAACAAAACTGCCCACTCACTGATAAGTCGACGGGTCGTCGTAACCCCCGTGGCGTCCCTGGATGCGGTCGTCCTCGGGATACGTCTCACCTATATGCGAAACAACTATAAAAACATTAATTTTAAGCACATCACCAATAATTTGAAATAACTTCTCATACGATGCTCAATTTTGGTATAATAATATACCACATCGACCTACTCGACGTCACGAGCGTCGAGAAATTTTTAGAAAAATTTTTGGAAGCCCCACGCGCCCCCACGCGCCACACGTGGCACGGGTCCACGCGCTGGCCACGCGCAGCACGTGCAGCGCACGTGTCGTCTTCTTCGCAGGTCTCGCCGGACTGGTTCTCTGGTGGCCGGACTCCGGCCGAACTCCGGCCGATTTTCAAACTCACTATTCTCCTTCGTTTTTCACCCATTTTCTTCGTATTTTATACCAAATTGAAGCCCTAAGAGTGTACAATCACGTTGGACTTGTTTTAGGGCCTAAAAACTACGAAATCTCACCTTGGAAAAACCAAAGATTCGGCCAAACTTGAAACCTACGATCCCGACGTCCAAAACTCTCCAACGAACGTCCCCGAGCTTCCTTAGGAACCTCCTAAAGCTCACCACAAGCTTGAAATCTCCTGAAACACAACATTTTACGTTCGCATGAACAGTACCTCAAAAATGGAGGTTCGGGATCTATGTGAAATCGAAGGTTTCACTTCCTAAAACTAGCACCAATGAACTCAGGACGACGAAAGGATGAAGATGCATACCTTATTTGCCTCGATCCGTCGAGTTTTGAAGGGTTTTGGGTGAAGGCCGTACGTATAGGGTGAGGGGAAAGAGAGAGATCGTGAGGGAGAGGGACAGAGAGAGCTACGGGAGGGAGAGAAGACAGGGAGTGCGTGTGTGTGTGATTGTGTGGTCCAACACAATCCTCACCATCCATCCAATTCCCTAACCACAAAAATTTCCAAATTCCAAAATTAAAATCCCAAAACTTACAAAATTAATTCAATAATGTCGCACACACACGTACCCGAATGTCCGTCAAGGGTAGTTACGTCAATTCACGCCCCCGATATAGAAATCCCGGGACGGGCTGTGACATTCTAAACATGTTCTAATATCATATCGTCATCCATCAGATATTCTATAAGAACACGGGTTATAGGAAAAATAGTAATAATTTAAAGTAGCCTCAATAAGCATGTTATCTCACAAAACGTTTCATAAAAGGTAATCATCAAATCATACTTTTTATGTATGCATTTCTACTATAAAACATGCATTTTAGAAGGGGTCCACTCACCGTACACCGTTGGTGCAACGCCATACCAAATAGGAATAACGGAACCGCCGTCATTAAATTCACCTAAGCACATAAATGATCCATTTAGTCAAACTCTACTCAAACGATTGAATTTGGGAAAACGAACTTCAAAAACGGATCCAGGACGTCGAAATTAGCCTAGGAAGGTCTTGGACGAAAACCCGAAAAGTCAACTAGAAAAGTCAACGTTGACCGGTCAAAGTCAACGGGTCAGGATCCGGGTCGAACCAGGTCAAACAGGTCTGGGCTTGGATCCGGGTTTGGGTCATAGGGTTTGGGTTCTTGGGTTTGGTCCTAAAGCCCAAAGGTTTAGGGTTTGGGCTTAAAGCCCTTAACAGAAACGGCCCAAAGGGCCCAAGTTTGATGGGTTGCCGGACCCGAGGAAGAAGAAGGCCGGAATTTCGGCCGGAAAACCACCCAATTTTAAATGGCTATAACTTTGTCAAAACTCAACGAAATCAAGCGAGACAAAAACGAAAGTTGTAGCCCTCGAAGAGACGAAGAGAATGGTACCTCACACGACGTCTAATTCGCCGTGGTTTGACCGGAAAAAGCCTCGAAAGCCGTCGGACTCGCCGGAAACTGGGTAAGATTCAAATGAGTATAACTTCTTCAATACTCAACGAAATTGGGTGAAACAAAAAGGAAAGTTGTAGTAATCGACGAGACGAAGAGATTGATACCTTGCACGCCGGCCAACTCGCCGTGGTTTGGCCGGAGATTAACTCGAAAGTGGCGGGTTCCTCGCCGGAAATGGGTGTTCATGCACCCGAGTTTGTTTTCATCCTAAAACCTCCAAAAATCACGAAATAAAACCAATTAGAACCCATTCTCAAAGATTCTAGGACGAAAGAGAGGGATTTAAGGCTTACCTAACCGGAAAATATAAAAATCTCGCGGGAGATCCTTTCCGATTTTCTGGGTTCGCAAACACGAGAGGGAGAGAGAGCAGGACGAGATGATGATGGTCTTCCTCGCGCAGGTGCAATGGGTGCGTGCGTGTGCTTGTTGCGGTGCAAAGAAGAGAGGGCGCAGAGAGAGCCGAGAGGGACAGACGGAAAAGAAAGAAAAAGAAACAGAAAAGAAGAAGAAGAAGAAGAAGAAAGAAGAAAATAAATAAAAGAAAGGGAAAGGGAACGGGGGACAAAACAGGGGGTGGGGCCCCTTGGGCACACCATTTAAGACCCAAAAACAATTTTAAAAGCAAGATAAACTCAAACTTAGTGAAAATACGATTTAAATTAGGGGCGGGTGTAACAATCTACCCCCCTTAAAAAGAATTTCGTCCCCGAAATTTAAAATCACCTACTAAACTGAAATACACGAAAATAGTAAGAAGAATATATGTATAAAGAGAAATCAAGTCAGAGTGGGTGCATCAAAGAGAATATACCACACCGTCGCGAGCGGGTTGCAAAATCCTCTATCATGCCTCCAAGCTTACTTTCTTCCCCATCAGTGTAAAAGTAGAAAACATACTTTATAAAGATATAAAGTCGAAAACATAAAATAGATTAAGGTCAAAAGTAAGAACATAACATACGATAACGTCAAAATGGATATGTACCAACATATAGGTTGAAAATTCGAGCTACACTTAAAAACTGAAAACGGAAATACTTTTCCAAAAACATTTGTAATGGCAAAACAATTAACTAGAGTAAATGAGGTTAAAATACTTATACTGAAAACCAAAACTGAAGAATGAGAGTGGGTCTTGCCCAAGAATTCGAAACGTCGCGTACTCCGAAAATAGATGTGTCTTTGGGTCCAGTTCTAACAATAGTGAATCTTTAACGGCTGCCGTAAAAGGATATTCCTGCCCCACTTGCTTAACGAACCCAACAAATAAATTATCGATACCACAGTCGGCCGCCCGCGATATCGACCACACATTTGTTGTCTCAGTAAACAAGCAGTAATTTCCTGAGGGTGCACAATTTCACACGTCGAAAATTCGATCCTCCAAGTACAAGCTTGCACGTCTCCTCTATCAACCAATGTTGCGTGTAGCAACTCTCGTACCATGTCGCAAATAGTGCCATACCCAAATCGAACAAAACCAATAACTATCGTCATACTAACTCCCTTTAGTACCAAGCACAACCTCTTCCTCAGTTATTCCAAATGTGACCAACTACTCCAGAGTTATGCCAACAAAGAACCCATTTGAAACTGTACTTTGGGATTCAAGAGAAGTGGCCACCATGTTAGTAGTAGACCCAAAAGCTCGAACTAGGTAAGCAGAAAACGAGAAGTCATCTTCCTCAACACGCAGTATCTCTTGGGAACTGTTGTAGTGCTCAATCCACCTCTCCATTTTTGCTTAGTTGCAGATTTCTAGTCAAACAAGATCAATGTTGGAGGAAAGAATGACTCTCATGCAATCAACCTAAACACCCCATGAGAGCACACACCATTCGCAAAAAGTGCAAAGATCTTCCGATTCTTATCTCAACTACGTTGTGGTGCCATTCCAGAGTGCACCAAACAAATCTGCTATAAGTGATTCAACATCCACATACTCACAAGAATAAGGTTCAGAAGTGAAGCAGTCGAAGTATGCATTGACACGAACACATATCGTTGGAAAATAACCGATGTGATGCCTATGAATTCTAGTAAGATGGTGATACAATATGCTGACCTTCTGAACTAAAACCTTCAACCAACTCTTACTAAAAGACCGCTCAACCTCACGCCCACGTGCTCTCGAACCGAAGGATCCTGGTGAGAGGTAGTGGAAAGCTGCGTTGAGGCGAACACATCATCAAAAATGTCTACCAGAGTAAGATATGATGATTATGAATTGCAGCAGGATAATGAATGGTGACCATTCAATTCAGCGTGAAGATAGTGATACAATCTGCTAATCATCTGCACCACAATCTTCACCAGTCTCTTACCAAAAGACAACTCAAACTTCACACCCACGTGGAACTCTTTCTGGTAAGTCTAGTAAGCTTGTGAAAAGATTATGCTCCCAACATTCCTGTCCAAATCGATAAGAATTGGGCGCACACTTCCGCCGAAACCATCGATCATGAATTTCTCACTAATTGAGAGAGAAACCATGTCGATAAGGCTAAAAGAACACTCAGGAATTTAAGGTTCAAAACAAGTCCATTAAATATAGAGTACAAGATATCCGGATTTGAACTAGAAACCACGCCGAGAACAAACGTTTTTTTTTTTTTTTTTTTTTACACCCTTCGTGTAATGTCCCGGCATGATCCAGTTCACATTGAGAAACAAACAAACAAACGAAGGAAAATGAAGATGCAGAAATAGAAGTTACTGTTTATGATTATTTGGCTACTCATCACAATAAGGTCGACTGGTTTCTTAGCCAAAAGGAACAAGTCTAATCTCAAGAATAGTCAAGAACTATTAATAAGATTTGACGAGGCCAAAGACATTTCGAGATTCACGGTACTTCGCGATAGTCATTTAAAAATTCAGAAATTAAACATAAAACCTCTGAATCAGCAGAATAACGAAGAAGAAAGATACAAAGCAGCTTGTGTATGCATGCAGTGACACGATTGGCTACCTTAAAGTGATGCCTCTGAGCAAATCAAAGCTTAACGAGCCCAGAGAAGTTCAGAGTAAAGCTCGATCTTCGTACAATGATGAATATGATAGAGTCTCAAGCCATTACGCTGAAAATTACAAGGCTGAACAGTTAGGTTGCAAGCAAGGGACTAAGTTCACCTTCACTGAAAAGTACACGGATGAGGAACTAGGGTTTACTACCAAGTACCAAACCCAGGTGAAGTTCAAGGAATTTGTTTATCCAAACAAGGCTGAATCTTCATTATCCAAGTTCAACTACAACAACAACAAGAATCGCAACTCCATTTCGAAATTGATGAGAATAACGTCTGCTACCGAGGAGTTTCCCAAGAAAAGTATAATCTCTAGACGAAGTCAACTCTCGAGGGATTTGATGTGAAGCTGACGATCAAAGGTCAGTGAACTTGACTTCGTCGTTGGAATAAACGAGAAGGTAATCGATAAAACAATCACAGAGAACTGTTATAAAGATTCACCCAAATTTCTTCAGTGGTAATGAGTTCGAGAACATTGATTTTGCTCCCACCAACTACCACCTACTAACCGTCGTCACCACTAGCACTTACTCGCTTCTTCAATCTGCATTTCGAAAGTTTCGAGTAATTTCTAAAGAGATACGACTCTGCCCGCCATTCCTAAGGAACGCATGTTGCAGAGTACAACACCGCTTCAGAACTCCAGTTGGTCTTAGTCAATTCGTACTGCCAAGATTTTTTTTCCGCTTCCCAAGATTTCGATGCAAAGCCGACTCCGCCCGCAATTCCTAGGGAACGCATGTTGTAGAGTGGCATCGCCATTTCGAATTTACAGCTGGTCTTGACCAGACTTCCTTAAGCTGAGATTTCTAAAATCCGTCGCTTCCAAGTAACACCGACTATGCCCGTCATTCCCAGGGAATGCACGTCGTAGAGTATCAATCTGAAGCTGAAAGTCGTCCAACAATTCAAACACGTCACCGATGAGGCACAATCCCGACACAAATTCTTGTATATCAACCCGAATGTGACAATTCAAATAGAGGAAGATTCGCACGACTGCGCCGAATGGCACCAAATCTAGAAGTCTGGACATCCAAATGATGTCAAAACCAACACTCTACGATAATAGAAGAGGATCCTAAGTATGCTCTGAACAAACCACGCTCTGATACCAATCTGACACGCCCCGATCCCGATATCCTCAGGATATCAGGATGGTCACGTGCTGGCCGACACCCGAGGGCGACGAAAGCCATTTATTGAGTGCAATTGCTGAAAATAAAGGATAGATAAAACTTATAAATATAAATAAAGAATATGCATTTAAGGAACGTGTTCAGAGCACACATCTAATCTAGAACATTAAAAGAATTAATATAAAAATTGAATGAACACAGAAGTGGGTTCTACACCGAGAGGACTTGAAGATACCGATGCGGAAGTGCCTGGATTGCCGGGATTGTACGCCTCGATCCTAAATCCTGAAGGGGGCGCAAAACAAACATGAGTGGACCAATTTGATATAAATATAACAAAACAGTTATCAACGTACTAACCCCCAAGTTTTATGAAAACACATATATAATGATAAACATAGGTTTTCCGAAACCTAGCATGATGTGCAGTGTCTCAAATCATAACTTTTATATATATAATAATCACTAGTGAATTGTCCGATAACCCCCAGGCCCCATGCCGGCTCCCCGTCTCTGAGCAGACAGTCAGAGGAAAATACACTTCAGGCCCCATGCCGGCTCCCCGTCCCTGTGCTAAATAGCCAGAGGAAACACACTCCAGGCCCTATGCCAACACCAAACCGTCGCCCGGGAATGACCGGAATCTATCCCTACGTCCCGTAGCGGAAATGACCACTAGGTAAGTACAAAACCATTGAACATATATATTGAAAAACAACTTCATAGTATAAAGTCATCCATCATCTATACTATAAAGAGGTGTTCTAAACATGTTCTAATATCATATCGTCATCCATCAGATATTCTATAAGAACACGGGTTATAGGAAAAATAGTAATAATTTAAAGTAGCCTCAATAAGCATGTTATCTCACAAAACGTTTCATAAAAGGTAATCATCAAATCATACTTTTTATGTATGCATTTCTACTATAAAACATGCATTTTAGAAGGGGTCCACTCACCGTACACCGTTGGTGCAACGCCATACCAAATAGGAATAACGGAACCGCCGTCATTAAATTCACCTAAGCACATAAATGATCCATTTAGTCAAACTCTACTCAAACGATTGAATTTGGGAAAACGAACTTCAAAAACGGATCCAGGACGTCGAAATTAGCCTAGGAAGGTCTTGGACGAAAACCCGAAAAGTCAACTAGAAAAGTCAACGTTGACCGGTCAAAGTCAACGGGTCAGGATCCGGGTCGGACCAGGTCAAACGGGTCTGGGCTTGGATCCGGGTTTGGGTCATAGGGTTTGGGTTCTTGGGTTTGGTCCTAAAGCCCAAAGGTTTAGGGTTTGGGCTTAAAGCCCTTAACAGAAACGGCCCAAAGGGCCCAAGTTTGATGGGTCGCCGGACCCGAGGAAGAAGAAGGCTGGAATTTCGGCCGGAAAACCACCCAATTTTAAATGGCTATAACTTTGTTAAAACTCAACGAAATCAAGCGAGACAAAAACGAAAGTTGTAGCCCTCGAAGAGACGAAGAGAATGGTACCTCACACGACGTCTAATTCGCCGTGGTTTGACCGGAAAACGCCTCGAAAGCCGTCGGACTCGCCGGAAACTGGGTAAGATTCAAATGAGTATAACTTCTTCAATACTCAACGAAATTGGGTGAAACAAAAAGGAAAGTTGTAGTAATCGACGAGACGAAGAGATTGATACCTTGCACGCCGGCCAACTCGCCGTGGTTTGGCCGGAGATTAACTCGAAAGTGGCGGGTTCCTCGCCGGAAATGGGTGTTCCTGCACCCGAGTTTGTTTTCATCCTAAAACCTCCAAAAATCACGAAATAAAACCAATTAGAACCCATTCTCAAAAGATTCTAGGACGAAAGAGAGGGATTTGAGGCTTACCTAACCGGAAAATATAAAAATCTCGCGGAAGATCCTTTCCGATTTTCTGGGTTCGCAAACACGAGAGGGAGAGAGAGCAGGACGAGATGATGATGGTCTTCCTCGCGCAGGTGCAATGGGTGCGTGCGTGTGCTTGTTGCGGTGCAGAGAAGAGAGGGCGCAGAGAGAGCCGAGAGGGACAGACGGAAAAGAAAGAAAAAGAAACAGAAAAGAAGAAGAAGAAGAAGAAGAAAGAAGAAAATAAATAAAAGAAAGGGAAAGGGAACGGGGGACAAAACAGGGGGTGGGCCTTGGGCACACCATTTAAAACCCAAAAATAATTTTAAAAGCAAGATAAACTCAAATTTAGTAAAAATACGATTTAAATTAGGGGCGCGTGTAACACAAATTGTCCCACAAGGTACCAATTACCCCATCCACATTTATCAGTTAAGAAGTCGTCATACATTATCACAATAACACCAGTATAATATGCCAAAATAACCTGCAAAACCCAATACCATTTGTCCTTCCGATTTGTAGAATTGGAAAGCAAGGATGTCAATACCTCGTGTCGACGCTTCGTGGTGTTTGTATGAGATATACCTACAGATTTAGTAGCTCCTGCTTTCTTGAGAGGAAAACCCAGAACATGCGCCATTGTTGTAGCTTCCTTGGTGCTCAAAACGAGGTTGTGATTGTGAGCGTGGGCTGATTCAGTGCTAAAGGTTGCTGAAATCGGAAATAGCGGCATTGTGGTCACAATCGCAACGGGCCTGGTTTTCTCAACATTCCGCAATGGAATTGTGGCTGCTACAATATCATTTGAGTGTAGCGGCTGGCTGGGCGAATTTGCCAATGAAGCGTTTGAGTTCGACGGTGGCCTGACAGGAGGATTTGCTAGTGCTCGCAATAACGGCGATGACGAGAGCAACGGCAGAATCTGATTAGTTGATGCAGCGACTCGTGGAATTATTTTCTGACCGAGATCGATTCCTGCAGCGTCATCGGCAATCATCGGGGCTGGATCAGGAACTCCCCCATCACTGATAGCGAACATAAGGGTTGGAGTGGAGTCTCCCTCAGCGCTGAGAGCCAACTCACGGGCACGGCGGATCTTAGCCAGGTAGGGTGCGAATAGAGCATCCAGGGTCTCGCGAAGCGAATCCTTGGGCGCAGCAACCATGGCAGAAAACGTAGGTGGGTGGGTGTGCACAGGAGGGAAACCAGGATTCGAGAAGGATGATACCATTGATAAGATCTAATTCTCAATTCCCTTAATCAACCTGTAAGTGGCACAAGAAAGCTATGGAAGAAGAGGGAAGGAGAGAAGAAGGAGCAGAGCTCCAATATTGATTTCTTTTGTAAAATTCTGATCTGATACATTTGGGGGAGCTGGGGCTCCTTTTATAAAACCTCTACACTTTTAAATGCCAGCTGGTATATTAACAATTCCTCACAGTAATAAAGCATAAAACCTCAGTAATAATTTGGGTCATAACACGTTAGTGCCATCAGCGCCGCCTTTGAGTAGTGAAAACCAAACAGATTCTGTTAACCATGGATTGCCTAACATGCCGGATGAGTATTTGAAGTATTTGCTTTCTCTCAACGAAAGGCAGCGTGAGGCAGCTTGCAGCTATATTTCAGTACCTTTGATGATTGTTGCCGGCCCTGGAAGTGGAAAGACTTCAACGATAGTTGGGCGCGTTCTAATGCTGCTCAATGAGGTGTTGCTACTTTCCCTCTAACTTTTTCTTTCGTAATTGTGTGTTTCTCTACATTTCTTGTTTATGATCGAAATCTTATTCGTTTTTTTTTTTTTTTTGTGTTCTTAGGGCATTAGCACGTCGAACATTCTAGCAATGACTTTCACTACAGCAGCAGCTTCCGAGATGAGAGATCGAATTGGATCTGTGACTGGGAAAGCAACGGCAAAACTACTAACAATCAGTACATTTCATTCATTTTCATTGCAACTTTGCCGATCACATGCTGAGAAGTAAGCTATTGATTCACCTCCCTTGATTTTGAACACCATACATTTGGTGGTATAGCTGAGTCTGTTATGTTGGCTTGTGTTTTAGACTCAAGCGCAGACCAGAATTTTTGATATATGGACATGGGCAACAGAGAAGAGCAATCATTGAAGCTGTGCGGTTATCAGAAGATGAAAAGAGTAAAACGAATCTTAATGTTGCTATAGATGGGGAAGAGTCTGACGGCGTAACATCTCCACATCATTTTAAGGATGCATCAAAGAAATGGCTGAAGTTTGTGACACAGGTTAGTCTTGAATACCAAATTTAATGTTCAGATTATTGTGGATTAAGAACTCTAATCATTCGATTTAAAAAATATTAGCTACAATCAAGCTAGAATGACCAATACAATGGTGTGTCTTACAATATGTGGCATTAGGCAGTAAATTTATTTATGTTTCAGGCAAAAGCTTCTGGAAAGACTCCCGCTGAATGCCGAAGAATGGGTGATGTGACAGGAGTACGCTCAGAACTAGAATTTCAGATATCATTTCAGTTCTTTGAAACTATTGCTTATGAGTTTTAGCTCTCAATCTGAATCAGGGTGAAATTCTTAGGAATTACAATGATATCTTGAAATCGTGCAACGCTTTGGACTACCACGACTTAATTAGCTGCTCTGTGAAGCTGCTAAGTGATTTTCCTGAAGGTCTCTATCATCTAAGTATATTTCATTGATTTATCTAGTTTTACAAGTAATGCTAAATGTTGATACATGGTGTTCTCTTAATTAGTGTTGAAGGAGTGCCAGGAGTCATGGAAAGCTATTGTAATAGACGAGTTTCAAGACACAAGTGCTATGCAATATAGTCTTTTGCGGATTCTCGCCTCTCATAACCACATAACCATTGTTGGTGATGATGATCAGGCATGTTGTTGATTTATTATGGAAATCCAATGTTATTGCTCCCTCTCTCCCTCTCTCCCTCTCTCTCTCTCTCTCTCAGCTCATTCTAATCCAGCCCTTATCTGTTCTAAATCAAATAACATATATCCTGCTGCAGTCCATTTTCAGTTTCAATGGGGCGGACATTTCTGGATTTGATTCTTTTCGTAAAGATTTTTCAAATTACAAAGAGGTTCGCTTCGCACTTGACTGCTATGTTATCTTATGTCATTCACAGTGTCTTTTTTCATTATATATAGTATAGAACAAATATATTGTACAATTACAGGAAAGTAAGTTTTATTTTATGGGTTTCTGTGGGATTTGACATAACTTTATGGTTCAGATTAGGCTTAATAAAAACTTTAGGTCCACACGCTATATTGTGGAAGCTGCATCTTCTGTTATAAAAAACAATAAGAAGCGATGCCAACTAAAGAATGTTGACACGGACAATTCTTCTGGGTCTAAGGTACTTAATCTTTCCTTGCTCCAACAAGTACAATTTGATGTCATTTTTCAGTCCTTTTAGTTAGTGACACTGGTTTTACTGGCAAAATGTAGGTAATTATCAAGGAAAGTCACAATGAGGATGCACAATGCGCCTTTGTTGTCGACAAGATCCTGGAGACTGCATCGAAACGGTCAGAAGCAGGGTGCTCCTATGGAAATATAGCAATCCTTTACCGGAGGCAGGTCAAGCTTACTTGCCTTAGTGCTAATGTGAATGAGGTGAATCATATAAGACATTTTGGTCACATTTTCTTTTGTATTTTATGCTACAGGTATCAGGAAAAGTCTTCCAGACAGCCTTGCGTGAAAGGAAAATACCATTTAATGTTCATGGAGTGGCAGTTTATAGGAAGAAGGTAGTTAGCACTTGTCCAGATTATGAAAACCTATCTTCTCAGTTGTATGTATCTAATTTTTCCAATATTATTTTGCATAAGGTGGTTTTTGCTAGTAGAACTTAAGTTATAAAGAATGCATACAAAAATTGTAATAGGCAGAAGCTTTTCACCTTTTCCACCAGAATTTTGGCATCACTGGTCCTTTTCATTGTTTTTCGTGCTTGCTTTTCCATTCCCTTTTGGTCAGCTATTTTATCCAAGATTTTGCTACATTACGGTTTCTGGTACACTCTGTGATCTTGTTGATGTAGCATGTTTCTTATGGCAGGTAGTTAGAGCCATTGTTGCTATGATTAAAACAACTTTGCCTGGTTGTGATGATGGATCATATAGGCAAGTCTTCAAGGCTCTACTTGCTTTTGAGAAAGAGGAAAAGAAGAAGGTACACGTTCAATGGGAATGATGAATGAGCATCATATTCAATGTTCTTTTCAGCATTAAAGTTGTATATTCTTGCTATCCATTTAATCTTCTTTTTTTACACACTCAGCATTTAGGCTCACATCTCTGGATATCACTGTCTTTTTCTCTCTCTCTCTCTTCAGGTGATCGATTATATTGACAAAATTTCAACTCACAGAAAATGCAGCTTCATATCAGCTGCTTGTGACATCTTTAGTGCAAAAATTTCTGGTACCTTGAAGAGGTCTGTATGACAAGATGCTTTAACATTACATTTTTACATGGTTAATTCAAGATATACTCATGTTTCTTTCTTATTTGGTATTACAAGCATTTAAGATCTTTTGGATATGTACTGATTGGTCTCTTTACTTGATAATAGGACTCAGCTTACCCAAGGACGCAAGGTGCTGTTAACACTAGAGATGATTTCAAAACTTGTTCTCAGGGTAAATATATTCGGTAAATTGTAGCACCTCTTACGCATTGCTTATTGGCATGATGTAGTAGTAGTAGTAGTTCATGAATCTCAATGGATAAAAAGGATATATTTTCAAATTTTTGGCGAAGTGAGATTCTGTCTACTTTGGTGATTTTTTTAGTTTGATTTTAGTTCTCTAATTGTTGGAACTCTGTATACTTTTCACGCCTCCTTGTTATTAGAAGGAAGAGTATCTCTTGCTCCCTTGCATTATTCTTGATTCGTCAATATTAATCCAAAATGTTATAGTTTTTGTTAGATCTGTGTTTCCAAAGAGGTAAAGGTTGTTCTGTGGAATACCTGTCTTTATTTAGTTGTGAATCTCTATGGTAGTCTCACTTATCAATGCACACAGGAACAATCGATTTCAGCTGTCATAACCTCAGTTGCGAATATGGTACCACAGGTTTGTCTTCCATTTCTCCAGAGTTGATATGTCATTTTTGAATCAAATTGCTTTTAATCATCTTTGAGGATGAGGATCACCATTCCATAACATTTTCTTCGTTTCATGCTTATATTCAATGCTTCGTAATAATTTATCGTTTGAGGAAGAGTACTTCCAGAGAAGATGCCACATCTACCTATGAGACAGATAAGGCAAGTCAAGACGACACCACACTCCGATACTTAGAAGTTTCGTGATTACGAGATCATTCTCCCACAATATTTCCTAATGTCATTTGTACTAAATCATTCACTTGTACTCACTAAATGAAAGCTTGAACCTATGTACTTGTGTAAACCCTTCACAATTAATGAGAACTCTTCTATTCCGTGGACGTAGCCAATCTGGGTGAACCACGTACATCTTGTGTTTGCTTTCCTATCTCTATCCATTTATATACTTATCCACACTAATGACCGGAGCAATCTAGCGAAGATCACAAAAAGCGATCGTTTTCGCTACCTAGGATCTATCTTGCAAGAGAACGGAGAATTAGATGGAGATCTCAACCATAGAATACGAGCTGGATGGAAAGAGTGCATCCGGCGTGTTGTGTGACCGTCGTAGGCCACTGAAGCTCAAGGGAAAATTTTATAGGACGGCAATAAGGCTAGCGATGTTGTATGGCACAGAATGTTGGGTGGTGAAGCATCAACACGTACACAAAATGGGTGTAGCGGAGATGAGGATGCTTCGTGGGATGTGTGGGCACACGAGAAAGGATAAGATTGGGAATGAGGATATCCGAGGTAAAGTAGGAGTAGCCGAAATTGTAGGAAATATGAGAGAAAATCGGCTCCGGTGATTTTGAACATGTGCAAAGAAGGCCGACTAACGCTCCGGTTCGAAGATGTGACTACGGGACAGAGGTTCAGGGCCGAAGGGGTAGAGGAAGACCTAGGACAACTTTGGAAGAGACTCTAAGAAAAGACTTAGAGTACTTGGATCTAACGGAGGACATGACACAAAACCGAGCGCAATGGCGTTCTAGGATTCATATAGCCGACCCCACTTAGTGGGAAAAGGCTTTGTTGTTGTTGTTGTTGTTGTTGACTTTCAATTTTTAGAAGTACCGTCTTGAGCAACGTGCAGTCGTTGATGTAGATGGAGGAAAACTGCTGAATGAAGACAATGACGTGAGATCTGTAAGTTTGCCGTTTGTGATGATTGTCATTTATACAATAAGCTTAAATGACCCGCTGCTTGGAAAACCCTTTTTTCCGTCAACAAGGTCTTAAATGAATAATTTCTCTATTTTAGTTAGTTAATCATTGTTGTCACTTAAATCTTGGTCCAACCCTGTTGCTGTGATGCGATTATTCTCATTGCAGGTTCTTCAGTACCTACTAGACGACGTATCTGATTTCTTATCAACTCATTTTGTTGCGGGAAAAGGGGAGAGAGAGAAGTCGTAGCAGAAGAAAAAGGCTGCGTTAATTTACTCAAAGCTTTCATCGACTACATATCTGAGCAGGAGAGTGAAAATTTTCACTCCCGAAGACATGACAACCAAAGTTCTGTCACTTTGACTACTATTCATCAGGTTCTAGATCTTTTTGATATCCTCTTATGCGAACCTCGCTAACTCTTATACTTGCGATGATTTCCCTATTGGACTTCCTTTGGAGTTCTACAAAACATTCTTGGCTTACTGTCTTTCTTTTTCATTCTCTTGCAGTCAAAAGGTTTAGAGTGGGATATAGTTTTCATAATTAAGGTATTTGCCTTAACATGTGGCTGTAATATTTTTCAGGTTGTTTATTTATTTATGTGTAGAGTTGAGGTGTTCTGTCATTAGATTTTACGGATTAAACATGCCAATGCTATACCTAATTGATGGCTTGAAATTGGTATTCTCTGTTCTACTATATTCATGACGATATCAACCTCTTCAAATCATCTTAGCTTGCTTTAATGCTCATGCCAATAACACAGGTAAATGAATCTGAGATCCCGTTGTTGCATGAATTCAATGGGGTTGCAAAAGAAAATGGGACCTCCATTGAGGTGTGTGGTAAATTGTTCAACATTTTTCAGTTATATGCAGAGCTTTGACATGTTTTTCACAATAATCCCACTCTTTTTTCTTTTGATCAATAACTCAATAATCCCACTCTAATCATAGGAGGAGAGACGCCTATTATATGTTGCAATGACTCGTGCTCGAAAAAAGCTTTTCATTCTTTATGTTACGATGGATTCCAGTTGGCAGGTTCGTTTTAGCTTGAATTCCTGTCCTCCTTATTTGTTGTTGTTGCTCTGACTGAGAAGGTGACTCCTTCAGATGCTTCAACCTTCGCGATTTCTGAAAGAAATTCCAAATCATCTACGAGAAGTCCAGGTGTGTATTACTGTTCATTATCCTCAGTTGTTCTGCTGTTTAGTCAAAAATACAAATAATGAAGAATCTGAAGTGTTTCTAATCTTATTAAGTCTAGTGTGGATGAATGCAATTTTTGTTTTGTAGGCTGACGTAAGTACAGAAGGCTTGCAATCAAAGCATCATGACACTTCAAAAGAAACTACTCCGTCAACAGATGATCTGAAACCAAATCTCCTACCTTCTGAAGTTATTACAGTGCAAAATGATCTCCATCATAGTAAATTTGACGTTGCCTCTGCAGAATTGATGGAATTTGGGGAGGAAAACCATGGAAATGGCTTCTTAAAAAGGTTTTGCTTGCAATTATGGGTGTACTATTATAACTAGCATTTTTGGTTGGTTATGTTCATGTTTAACTTTATTCTTCTGTCACTGTGCAATAGATTCAGTGTGGATGAGAGATCAATTTTCTCGCATGTATTTAATGACTGGGCTAAGAAGGAAGCATTTCAAGATCCTAAGAGATTACTTGACAAGGTGAATTGGATTTATATATAATCACAGTACTCAGTTGAGGCAGTAGAACTTATTTCATTTATGTCTGAGACCGGGGTATAGTTTCATTTTTGTTTGAGAGATAAGAATCATACTGTTTTGCCTTCAGACTTTTAACTTTGGATTGGTGGCAATGTGAATGCCGAAGATTAATGTTCTGACTACTGCTTATATTTTCTGTTGTACCTGTTACAGATTGGTTTTGTAATAGATGAACGCATACGAGCCAAGAACTACAAACACAAGGTCATAAATTTAGTCCTTTAACTTCCTATTCAATAACTGTTCTTCCCTATTTTTTAACATGCCTCACCGCATGAAGAAGTTGTTGGTGTTTGAATACTTGTGTTTGGATGTGATGCGTATACGTTTTTATATTACTGATTGACTTATGTAACTCTCAGGACGGTTTGCGCTCACTCAAATCTTGCTTGAAAGATGAAGATGCATTTCATTATGCCCAATATGTAAGTATCTTGGTACTTTCCAGTTTGTGCTCTGAAAATTTCTGAAACTAAAAACAAAAGAATCACGGGATTTAGGATCTTGAATAGGCGAGCCTTCTTTTGTTTTCGTTAATATCTGTCGTAATATGCAACTACAGCTACTTTATTTCAATAGGTTTGTACACATAATTGGTATAATATGCTATCCAGCTCGACATCAACGTTATATTTCTTTGTAACAGGTTTTGAGATGGCAGAAAATACCTGCAGATCAACGCGCTCATTTGATGAGGGAAAAACAGGTTAGGTGTAAGACGGTTCCCTTTGTCACACTTTGGTTGTTTTCGGTAGCAAACTATTGCTTTGTGTTTGAGAACGACAGTATCGATTGCGGTTGGCAAATATGCCGACTTATAGAACAAACACCATTATAAACCTTGGTCAAAAAAACACACCATCATAAATCAAGTAGAATAAAATATGAATAAAATATTAAAGGAGTGATAATATCAAGACCATGGCACGGAGACAGAGTGAAAAAATAAATAAAATACTAAAAAAATTGATAGAACCCACACTAGTTTGACAGTGTATATTTTTTAATGGTAAAACTAGAACTTACCGCCCACTACAAAGCGCCAACTATCTATACAACAACAACAACAACAACAAAGCATTTTCCAACTAAGTGGGGTCGGCTATATGAATCCTAGAACGCCATTGCGCTCGGTTTTGTGTTATGTTCTCCGTTAGATCCAAGTACTCTAAGTATTTTCTTAGAGTCTCTTCCAAAGTTTTCCTAGGTCTTCCTCTACCCCTTCGGCCCTGAACCTCTGTTCCGTAGTCACATCTTCGAACCGGAGCGTCAGTAGGCCTTCTTTGCACATGTCCAAATCACCGGAACCGATTTTCTCTCATCTTTACTTCAATTTCGGCTACTCCTACTTTACCTCGGATATCCTCATTCCCAATCTTATCCTTTCTCGTGTGCCCACACATCCCACGAAGCATCCTCATCTCCGCTACACCTATTTTGTGTACGTGTTGATGCTTCACCGCCCAACATTCTGTGCCATACAACATCGCTGGCCTTATTGCCGTCCTATAAAATTTTGCCTTGAGCTTCAGTGGCCTACGACGGTCGCACAACACGCCGGATGCACTCTTACACTTCATCCATCCAGCTTGTATTCTATGGTTGAGATCTCCATCTAATTCTCCGTTCTCTTGCAAGATAGATCCTAGGTAGCGAAAACGGTTGCTTTTTGTGATCTTCGCTAGATTGCTCCGGTCATTAGTGTGGATAAGTATATAAATGGATAGAGATAGGAAAGCAAACACAAGATGTACGTGGTTCACCCAGATTGGCTACGTCCACGGAATAGAGGAGTTCTCATTAATTGTGAAGGGTTTACACAAGTACATAGGTTCAAGCTCTCCTTTAGTGAGTACAAGTGAATGATTTAGTACAAATGACATTAGGAAATATTGTGGGAGAATGATCTCGTAATCACGAAACTTCTAAGTATCGGAGTGTGGTATCGTCTTGACTTGCCTTATCTGTCTCATAGGTAGATGTGGCATCTTCTCTGGAAGTACTCTTCCTCCATCCAGGGGTGGTATCTTTAACTGGTGGAGATGCACAAGGTAATGTATCAATTTCACTTGAAGCTTACTTGTAGTTTCAGGCTTGGTCAAGCGCGATACAAACCATGTAGTAGGAGTCCCCCAAGTCGCCGAGCTAGGGGATCTGCTGAAAGAGGTGACAGACAAGGTAAGCAATCAGAGCTCCGGCTGATTGTTCACCTTCTCCCCATCTTGCAGGCAGCATGAAGGATAAAGAGAAGAAAAATGAGAAGAGATGATATGAGATACTTTTGCTTTTGAAGAAGTAACTTTCCACAGGCTTATTCTTGAACTGAGCTGGAGGGTTTTCTGGTTTCCTCCAGAGTATAAGGCCGACTGAAGAATTTGAGGGTCAAAACAAGTCCATCAAATCTAGAGTACGTTCGACCCTGCTGATATGGGATACTTTTGCTTTTGACAGAGTAATGGATGTATCGGCACGTGTGCTGTTACGCTTGTCTCCACATGCTTCCTTGTATCCTTCGCACTTGCCCTATCTGTTCCTCAAGGCAGATGCGGTAATCTTCCCTGGAAACATAAGATGTTGAAGATGAGTACTCGAGAGCAATGCCAGGTAAGTAATCAGGTAAGGGGTTCCAGGCAGTCAGTTCCTGGCTGGAAGCTTGATTCCAAGTGCTGACTGATTGCTCTCTTTCTCCTTGTCTTGCAGGTAAAAACAAGGCCAAAGGAAAAGACAGGGAAAAAGCATGATATGGGATACTCTTGCTTTTAACCCTGATGATATGAGATATTCTTGCTCTAGTATAGCTTGTTTGCAGAGGTATTATCGGGGAGGGGGAAGAAAGCTGAATATTTTGAAAGGCTTCGTTGGGAGTGGCCTCTCAGATATGAGGAAGGGTTGAGCATTTTTGCAGGTCTGCCTGTCGTTGGGGATGGAGGTCGACATATATAGGAGTCTCCCTAACAACAAGTAGTAATGCTATTCCTTTACCCTGCTTAGTCATAGCACGGTAGTGGGACCTGCCAGCTTCACATGTTTTAACTCTGTCAGAGCACTTTGAAAAAGTGGTCTGTGGTATCTGGAAAGCTGATGTTCCGTGTGAAGATTATAGACAAGCTTTATCCAAGGAGATCCGGCTCTTGAAGTTGGGAAAGTGGTGCCTCTTCGGTTTTCGAACAAGCAATCCTATTGATGATCTGGCTCTCGAGATTCGGAGAATGATGCCTCTTCGATTTTTTAGAAAGCAATCATGCTGGGGGTCTGGCTCTCGAGATTCGGAGAGCGGTGTCTCTTCGATTTTTGAGAAAGTAATCATGTTGGGAGTCTGGCTCTCGAGATTCGGAGGGCGGTGCCTCTTCGATTTTGGAGCAAGCAATCTTGTTGGGAGTGTTTTCTCGAATGTGAGTAAAGGTTGGGCATGTTTGCTAGTCTACCTTGCCACGAAGCACAAAGGTTGACACACAGGGACTTTCCAATTATCCAGCAATGGTACTGTTCCTTTACCCTTTTCGATTTTTGAGAAAGTAGTCATGTTGGGAGTCTGGCTCTCGAGATTCGGAGGACGGTGCCTCTTCGATTTTGGAGCAAGCAATCTTGTTGGGAGTGTTTTTCTCGAATGTGAGTAAAGGTTGGGCATGTTTGCTAGTCTACCTTGCCACGAAGCACAGAGGTTGACACACAGGGACTTTCCAATTATCCAGCAGTGGTACTGTTCCTTTACCCTTGTGGGTAATAATATGGTAGCTAGACCTTCAAAATTTATGTGTCTAAACTTTGTTAGTGCTGTTTCTTTGCTATTCTTTTACCTTTCTTGGTCAGAGCGATGTAGTGGGAGCTGCAAGCTTCACGTGCTCAACTTTGGCAGAGAACTTTGGCAAAGTTATCTGTGGTACCCATGAGCTATTGTTGCGTGTGGGGAAGTGGGTGATTGAACAGTAAGATTCATGTGCTTTCTACTTCACCAGAAGTCTTCGACAGAATGCCCATAATTTCTGCAAAGCTGAGTGTGCGTGTGACAGGTGCTGACAAGGCTAGAAAAGTAGGTGCCTCTTCGATTTCTGAGATCGGCCCTCGTGGTCTCTGAGCAGCCCACCAGCTTTTGAGAAAGCGAGCGCCTCTTCGATTGATTCGGAGAACGATGCCTCTTCGATTTTTGAGAAAGCAATCATGCTGGGGGTCTGGCTCTCGAGATTCGGGATAGCAGTGTCTCTTCGATTTTTGAGAAAGTAATCATGTTGGGAGTCTGGCTCTCGAGATTCGGAGGGCGGTGCCTCTTCGATTTTGGAGCAAGCAATCTTGTTGGGAGTGTTTTCTCGAATGTGAGTAAAGGTTGGGCATGTTTGCTAGTCTACCTTGCCACGAAGCACAGAGGTTGACACACAGGGACTTTCCAATTATCCAGCAATGGTACTGTTCCTTTACCCTCTCTTCGATTTTTTTGAGAAAGTATTCATGTTGGGAGTCTGGCTCTCGAGATTCGGAGGACGGTGCCTCTTCGATTTTGGAGCAAGCAATCTTATTGGGAGTGTTTTCTCGAATGTGAGTAAAGGTTGGGCATGTTTGCTAGTCTACCTTGCCACGAAGCACAGAGGTTGACACACAGGGACTTTCCAATTATCCAGCAGTGGTACTGTTCCTTTACCCTTGTGGGTAATAATATGGTAGCTAGACCTTCAAAATTTATGGGTCTAAACTTTGTTAGTGCTGTTTCTTTGCTATTCTTTTACCCTTCTTGGTCAGAGCGATGTAGTAGGAGCTGCAAGCTTCACGTGCTCAACTTTGGCAAAGTTATCTGTGGTACCCATGAGCTATTGTTGCGTGTGGGAAGTGGGTGATTGAACAGTAAGATTCATGTGCTTTTTACTTCACCAGAAGTCTTCGACAGAATGCCCATAATTTCCGCAAAGCTGAGTGTGCGTGTGACAGGTGCTGACAAGGCTGGAAAAGTAGGTGCCTCTTCGATTTCTGAGATCGGCCCTCGTGGTCTCTGAGTAGCCCAGCTTTTGAGAAAGCGAGCGCCTCTTCGATTTCTGAGATTGGCCTTCGTGGTCTTTGAGCAGCCCAACTTTTGAGAAAGCAAACGCCTCTTCGATTTCTGAAGCTCCGTCGAGTGCAGATTTTTATAGGGGCTGTCATTAAGTTCTAAAGCACACTTGAAATCCACCAGTAGAAGCTCCATTCTTGCACTTCTAAGATCTTGATTTATCCGACATCTTCTCTCTTCAACACCTTTGAAAATGTCTGGCCCCTCCGACCGTCGTTTTGACTTGAACCTTGTTAAAGAGGCAGCCCCGCCTTCTCCAGACAACATATGGCGCACATCCTTCGTCTCCCCTACTGGTCCTCTTACCGTTGGGGATTTCGTAATGAAGAATGATATGACCGCTGCGGTGATGGCCAGGAACCTTCTCACTCCCAAAGATAACAAACTACTTTCCAAACGGTCTGATGAGTTAGCTGTTAAGGATTCGCTGGCTCTCAGTGTTCAGTGTGCAGGTTCTGTGTCTAATACGGCCCAACGCCTATTTGCTTGAACCCGCCAAGTTGAATCATTGGCGGCTAAAGTGATGAGTCTCAAACAGGAGATTAGATGGCTCAAGCATGAGAATAAACAGTTGCACCGGCTCGCACATGACTATGCTACAAACATGAAGAGGAAGCTTGACCAGATGAAGGAATCTGATGGTCAGGTTTTACTTGATCATCAGAGATTTGTGGGTTTGTTCCAAAGGCATTTATTGCCTTCATCTTCTGGGGCTGTACCGCGTAATGAAGCTCCAAATGATCAACCTTTGATGCCTCATCCTTCTAGGGTTCTGTCCAGTTCTGAGGCTCCGAATGATCCCCCTCTGGTGCCTTCTCTTTCTGGGGCTCTACCGGCTGCTGAGACTTCTCCTAAGCAACCTTATGTATATGTACATATTTGTAGCTTATCGGGAATATCAATAAATAAGCTTTCCTTCATTTCAACGTTTGTGTTAAATACACCAAATCATTCTTCGCTAAGTTCTTTGAATTTTCTTTTGTTGAAGCTTTGTGAGTGGAGCATGTAGGTTGAGGTAGTGTTCCCTTAATTTCCCGAGTGAGGAAAACTTCTCGGTTGGAGACTTGGAAAATCCAAGTCACTGAGTGGGATCGGCTATATGAATCTTAGAACGCCATTGTGCTCGGTCCTGTGTCATGTCCTTCGTTAGATCCAAGTACTCTAAGTCTTTTCCTAAAGTCTCTTCCAAAGTTTTCCTAGGTCTTCCTCTACCCCTTCGGCCCTGAACCTCTGTCCCATAGTCGCATATTCTAATCGGAGCGTCAGTAGGCCTTCTTTGCACATGTCCAAACCACCGTAACCGATTTTCTCTCATCTTTCCTTCAATTTCGGCTACTCCTACTTTACCCCGGATCCTCATTCCTAATCTTATCCTTTCTCGTGTGCCCACACATCCAACGAAGCATCCTCATCTTCGCTACACCCATTTTGTGTACGTGTTGATGCTTCACTGCCCAACATTCTGTGCCATACAGCATCACCGGCCTTATTGCCGTCCTATAAAATTTTCCCTTGAGCTTCAGTGGCATACGGCGGTCACACAACACGCCGGATGCACTCTTCCACTTCACCCATCCAGCTTGCATTCTATGATTGAGATCTCCATCTAATTCTCCGTTCTTTTGCAAGATAGATCATAGGTAACGAAAACGGTTGCTCTTTGGTATTTCTTGATCTCCGATCCTCACCCCTAACTCGTTTTGGCCTTCATTTGTACTGAACTTGCACTCCATATATTCTGTCTTTGATCGGCTTAGGCGAAGACCTTTAGATTCCAACACTTCTCTTCAAAGGTTAAGCTTTGCATTTACCCCTTCCTGAGTTTCATCTATCAACACTATATCGTCTGCGAAAAGCATACACCAAGGAATATCATCTTGAATATGTCCTGTTAACTTATCCATTACCAACGCAAAAAGGTAAGGACTTAAGGATGAGCCTTGATGTAATCCTACAGTTATGGGAAAGCTTTCGGTTTGTCCTTCATGAGTTCTTACGGCAGTCTTTGCTCCTTCATACATATCCTTTATAGCTTGGATATATACTCGTACTCCTTTCTTCTCTAAAATCCTCCAAAGAATGTCTCTTGGATATCCTCCAACTATCTATATTTATATATTTTATTTAGGGATGTGATATCCACACATCATTTTTTTATTTAGGAGTGAGAAGTAAAAAAAGTTGTGTAGATAGCACACTCCTTTATTTATCAATTGTAATGATAAATCAAGACCTGACTTTTTATATTTATAGAGTTTTAGTTTTTGAACAATGTTTTATTTTCTTTATTTTCTTTTTTAAGTCCAACTGATTTATATAATAAAAATAGAGAAGTGTATTGGCATTTCAAAAATCTCATTCTACACTCATCATAAGTGTATTTTTCTTTTTTAATATAGAAAATTTGGAGTATAAAATGAGATTTTTGAAGTGCTAATAATAATTTTATACAAATATACAATAAATTATTTAAAACCGTCTAGGCCGCCTAGCCGCCTAATCGCCCAGGCTTCGCCTAGCTGCCTAGGCACTAGGCTCCAATCCTTCGCCCGACTGGCGTCTAATGTTATTTTTCTTTCCTAATGTTATTTGATTCAAAATTAACTTATCTCCATTGAATTCAGATCATTTTTGGATTTTCTTTGTGAGGATTTTGGAGATCTGTGAATCATATACGTTCATCATACATCTTGCAGTAAAAAATTATTTTAAATTACTTTATTTAAAATTAAACAAAAATAATATTCGATAAAAAACAACTACACAATATACGATGAACAAGATTCACGAACACCCCAAAATCCTCACAAAATTTTGAAAAAGATCCTGTTGAATTTCCATCGATATTGAATTACAACAAAACACTTCTTATATAGCAACAGAATCCTATAACCAGCTGTGGAAATGGGCCATTAGGAGCTATCTGCCAAAAGAACGACAAATAAACAGTTGTCCGCTCAACAAAGAAACGGAGATAGCTTTCTGTGCTCCTGCTTTTCATCGTTTTGAGCGCTCCCTTTCATTCTAACACTTTGTGATTTAGTCACGTATTTGTAAATAAATAATGAGAGTATTAATGCAACATTTTTTATACTGTTTATTTTTAATAAAAAATTATTTTTTTTATTTTTTTCTGGTATTATTTACTACACATTCATTTTTCTTTTTTCATTAAAACTAAAGTTTTTTTTTAACTTTTCTTTAGTTTTCGTAGAAATAATAGGTTTAATTGAATTAATAGTAAGGTAGTTATAAAATAATCCATGTGATAAGTAAATTAAGATTTAAGCTTCTATGGTAAAATATGTTAGGATTTAGATTTAAAATTTAAAATTTTGTTAATTCTTCATTAATTGTTAGCATATGAAAGCATAAATCATAATTTTTTTAATCTTCTAACCACCATATTACAACGGAAACTAATAATCCAATCAAGATCTATAATTAAGCTTTAGCCTTAATCATGATTAAATGGCATGCTGGAAGACTGAGAGAGGAAAAGGAGATACCATCCTTCCTCTAACCTACTTTTCTCGATTAAATATATTAAATTAAGAGGTGGTTGGGTAGGCAAGTGTAGATTAAATTTACTACTTTGACCCCTTTCTTGGCATTTTCTTGGGTTAAAAATCAAAAGCATGCAGATTCCATTCCCATCGAAATTTCCCTGAAGAAGATCTGAAAACACATAAAAGCATAATTTTCCTTTGGACGTGATATTCACACATTTCAACTTCTCATAAATTTTTTTAATTTTTAAATGTAAAACTAGATGAATTAAAAAAAATTAACAAAAATAAATTATCAAAAATGTATAAAAAAGTAAAATAAAGTATGGATATCACAACCATTTCCTTTTCGCTTTTTCCCTTTTGCATTGACTCATTGAGTATTTATGTACTTACAATTCTCTTAGTCATAACTGCTCGATCATCGGTGACCAGGTGCGATCGATAAATGGTTGCTTCTTCTTCTTCTTCTTTTTCTTCTTCTGGCTTTGGTTGGAAATACGATGTGTTCATCAATTTCAGAGGGGAAGACACTCGCAGGGGCTTCGTCAGCCATCTCTACAACGCTCTGGCTAAGAAACCAATCAACGCCTTCATTGATGCCGAAAAGTTCAGAAAAGGCGACCACCTTTCCGAGCTCCTGACAGCGATTCAAGAGTCGAGGCTTTCGATTGTAGTTTTCTCTCAAAACTATGCTTCTTCCACTTGGTGCTTGAAGGAACTCGTGCAAATCCTGGAATGCAAGGTACCAATAACCAGATTGTACTCCCCATTTTCTATGAAGTTGATCCGTCTGATGTTCGTAAACTCAAGAAAAGTTTCGCGGAAGCTTTTGCTCAGCACGATATCGATTCTAACGCCGAAATAGAGGAGGTTCGGAGCTGGAGATCCGCTCTTACAACTGCCACCAGTTTAGCCGGCTGGGATTCGCGAAACTATGAGTAAATTCTAATTTGTTTTAGTTTCCTAGTAATTTTTGGGATTTTTGTAACGTTTAGGGGTAATTTGATAAATATTTAGTTTTTAGTTTTAATTTCTATTTTTTTGAAAACTAACAGATGAAAAAGACCCATTAATTATCATTTGGTGGTGTTATTATATTGTTTTTTAAATTTGACAGAAATGATGCGGTGCTTATTGAGGAAATTGTAGAAGATGTTTATAGGAAATTGATCGACATCTCATCAACATCAAGCAAAGATAATGGCTTGGTTGACATGGATTCTCACATGCATGAAATGCATTTATTATTATATCCTCCCGGAGGTGAAACGAATAATGTTCGCGTTGTTGGAATATGGGGTATGGGTGGTTTAGGCAAAACAACCATCGCTAGAGCTGTTTATGATAAAATCGCTAATCGATTTGAAGCTTGTTGCTTTCTTGAAAATTTCAAGGAAGGTTTCATGAAGCATGGCAAACTACATATGCAGGCACAACTTCTATCGAATATCTCGAACAACAAGGTGGGGAGTTCTGACATATCAAAAAATGGTTTTCAGGTGATGTTAAAAAGCCTTGGTCAGAGAAAAGTTCTTATTGTTGTTGATGATGTGGACGAATTAGAACAAATTGAAGCTTTACTTGAAGAGCCACATTCCTTTGGTTGTGGAAGCAGAATTATTATAACAACTAGAGATTCGCAATTACTAAGCATAGCTGATGTGATATATAATCCCAAGATTTTGAGTGATTCTGGAGCTCTGAAACTCTTTAGGCGGCACGCCTTCAGAAAAAACCAACCTACCAGAGATTATGATGATCTCTCGAATCATGTCGTAGAATATGCTCAAGGCCTGCCTTTAGCACACAAAGTCTTGGGAGCTTTTCTTGGTAACAAAACTATACGCGAGTGGGAAGATGAGTTAGAAAAAATAAGGAAAATCCCACGAAGGGGAATTCATGATGTGCTTAAATCAAGCTTCGATGGACTAGATGACAAGGAGAAGGACATCTTTCTGGACATTGCATGTTTCTTTAAAGGGATGAAGAAAGACTGTGCAACCCGAATTCTGGAAGTTTGTGGTTTCCATCCTTATACTGGAATAAGAGTTCTAATCGATCGAGCTCTCATAACTGTCTCAGGGGAGGGGGAACTGGAGATGCATGATTCATTAGAGGAAATGGGTCGGGAAATCGTCCGCCAAGAATGTATCAAAGAGCCTGGGAGACGAAGTAGGTTGTGTAGTTATGAAGATGTTCATCACGTGCTATCTCAAAATACGGTGAGAAATCTTTTTCTTATTGTCAATAAAAAGTTTCAACTTTTGATCAAAATCAATTTCTTAGGTCCGTTTGATAAGTATTTTTGTTTTTAATTTTTAATTTTTAGTGTTTATTGTTTTAATAAGAGGTCGCACTTGGTGTGATGACAAGTGCCTTCGCCCATGAGCGGTAGGTCTCGGGTTCGAGACTTGGAAGCAGCCTCTCCATAAATGGGGGTAAGGCTAGCCAACATTCATCTCTCCCAGACCCTGCGTAAAGCGGGAGCCTTGTGCACTGGGTACAACCTTTAGTGTTTATTGTTTTAATAATTGAAAATTGAAAACAATTAAACTAAAAACAAAATGATTATCAAACGGCTCCTTAAGAAACAAGTATTAGTTTCATAATCTAAACTAAGGTTCTCTGTATTTTCCCTTACTTTGATTTACACAGGCTACAAAATCAGTTGAAAGCATAATCGTGGATTTCTCGTACTCAGACTGGGTATGCTTAAATGCTGAAGCTTTTGTTAGCATGAATCAACTAAGACTTATCAAGATCAGTCATAAGGACTCCATTTCTAAACATGATTACTGCAAACACCACTTGATTGGGCCCTTTAAGTTACTTAACTTGAGGTATCTCTCCTGGTTTGGATTCCCTCTCAAGTCTTTGCTATCCAACTTTCAATTCAAAAATCTTGTTGAACTTGACATGCAATTTAGTCTCATTGACCGACTTTGGGAAGGAACCCAGGTATGTACAATCATTTACATGTATTTGTTTCTTTTAAATGTTTGGGTTTTGAGTGAGATGTCTTATTAAGTAATGCATGCTTTCCTAAATGTTTTAACAGACGCTGGAAAAGTTGGAAGTCATCAATTTAAGTTATTGTCAATACCTTGAGGAAACCCCTGACTTCACAAATGTGCCAAATCTTGAGAGGCTAATTCTTCAAGGTTGTAGAAGCTTAGTTGAGGTTCACCAGTCTATTAGGACTCTTAGAAACCTTGTTTTATTGAATCTGAAAGGGTGCGAGAAACTTAAGATTCTACCCAGCAGCATTCGTATGAAATCTCTCAAAACCTTTAATCTTTCTGGCTGCTCCAGTCTTGAGATGTTTCCAGAGATTTTAGAAGGTATGGAGGAGTTAGAAGAGCTTGATTTATCCAAGTCAAAAATTAAAGAACTGTCCTCGTCAATTAATAATCTCACGGGGTTGAGTCATTTGAACCTAGAAAATTGCAAGGAACTTAAGAGTCTTCCAAGCAACATTCGTATCAAATCTCTCAAAACCTTTAATCTTTCTGGCTGCTGGAGTCTTGAGATGTTTCCAGAGATTTTACAAGTGATTGAGGGGTTAGAACAGCTTGATTTATCTAGGTCAAAAATTAAAGAACTGCCATCGTCAATTAATAACCTCACGGGGTTGAGTCGTTTGATCCTAGATGATTGCAAGGAACTTAAGTGTCTTCCAAGTAGCATTCGTATGAAATCTCTTAAATTCCTTTCTTTCTGGCTGCCTGAGTCTTGAGAAGTTTCCAGAGATTTCAGAAGTGATTGAGGGGTTAGAAGTTCTTGATTTATCCGGGTCAAAAATTAAAGAATTGCCCCCATCAATTAATAATCTCAGTGGTTTGAGTTATTTAAGCCTAGATAATTGCGAGGAACTTAAGTGTCTTCCAAGCAGCATTCGTATGAAATCTCTCACAACCCTTAATCTTTCTGGCTGCTCGAGTCTAGAGATGTTTCCAGAGATTTCAGAAGTGATTGAGGGGTTAGAAGAGCTTGAGTTATCCGGGTCAAAAATTAAAGAACTACCCCCGTCAATTAATAACCTCACGGGGTTGAGTCATTTGCACCTAGATGATTGCAAGGAACTTAAGTGTCTTCCAAGCAGCATTCGTATGAAATCTCTCAAAGTGCTTAATCTTTCTGGTTGCTCGAGTCTAGAGATGTTTCCAGAGATTTCAGAAGTGATCGAGGGGTTAGAATTTCTTGATTTATCCGGGTCAAAAATTAAAGAATTGCCCTCGTCAATTAATAATCTCACTGGGTTGAGTTATTTAAGCTTGGATCATTGCGAGGAACTTAAGTGTCTTTCAAGCAGCATTCTTGTGAAATCTCTCAAAGCCGTTAATCTTTCTGGATGCTCGAGTCTAGAGATGTTTCCAGAGATTTCAGAAGTGATTGAGGGGTTAGAAGAGCTTGAGTTATCCGGGTCAAAAATTAAAGAACTACCCCTGTCAATTAATAACCTCACGGGGTTGAGTCATTTGCTCCTAGATGATTGCAAGGAACTTAAGTGTCTTCCAAGCAGCATTCGTATGAAATCTCTCAAAACTCTTAATCTTTCTGGTTGCTCGAGTCTAGAGATGTTTCCAGAGATTTCAGAAGTGATTGAGGGGTTAAAAGTTCTTTATTTTTCCGGGTCAAAAATTAAAGAACTGCCCTCGTCAATTAATAATCTCACGGGATTGAGTTATTTAAAGCTAGATGATTGCAAGGAACTTAAGGGTCTTCCAAGCAGCATTTGTCAGCTCAAGTCCCTGGTCTATCTCTCTCTTTCCGGTTGTACAAAGTTTGAGGTGTTTCCAAGCATTGAAGAAAATATGGAAGGATTAAGAGCGCTTTTCTTGGATGGAACATCTATCAAAGAGCTTTCCCCCTGGATTGAACGCCTTACGGGGCTTCAGTATTTAAATCTGAGAAACTGCAAAAGCCTTGTGCATCTTCCCGACACCCTCTGTAAATTGGCACACCTGATCACGGACACATAGCTGCGTCTTGGCCTCAGTCCCTCTCCACCCCAACCCCCAATTTCTAGGTAATCAAAATTCAAACCCTATTTTTGGTTCGGAATTAAAATTCGAAATTTGCGAAATTTTATTATCTGAATAAAGAAATAATTTTCTGGGGTTTTGGGTACTCTGTGCTTATAAACACATGGATACGAAGCTCTGTTTTGAAGCAATCAATCGGACACTACGCCGCGTTGCAGCAGCTTTGGTGGAATTGGCGTGGTCAGACGTCTAGGCACAGCCGGATTTTATGAAATCCCAAGAGGTGTCTTTTTCCAAGAAGAGGTACATAACTCCGCCGCCGGATTCTTTTGATTTGTGCTTGTGCGGAAACTGTGAAGATATTGGTATGTCAATTCCTGTTGCTCACTTGCTAATGCCACCGGTGCTCCTCCAATCTGGGTGAAAGGTAGTTTGCATTTCCTTTAATCATAACATTTCTGTACCTGCAAATTACAGTGGATGAGCCCTCTGAATTTGTGTAAATGATGTGGGGCATAATAATGGGATTTTCAATTGCTTGTCGTATGAATCATCAGCAAACTTTGCATTCATCGGTAAAACCATGGTATTCAATACAACGAACAAGAGATGCTAAGCAGCCTTTTAAGTTTTACAGAAAATTGCATAGTTGAACAAATACAATGGAGAAGTTACAAACTGTTACACTCTGTTTGGAAGAGGAAATTTAAGATTACTAAGAAATTTTAAAATGATAGAAATTGAAATAACAGTATTTGTTATCTTTAAACTCTCTCATGGAAATTTAGAAATGACACATATTTACATGAAATTTAAACTTGAGAATTGGAGGTCATAAGTTCCAAGTTTTGTTTTTCCCACGCGGAAATTCTAAATTTATATGTTTATAAATCCAAACAAGAAAATTACTGCATGTCAATTTATAAATTCTGACTTTTATCAAAATTCCATGTTTATTCCCCTCATCCAGTGTTAATGTTTTCCCAATACGTGGACAGATTACTTCGTACATTTTGCGTTGTGATTGCTTCTCTTTACGTTTTTTCTGCCGATCTTTGTGCACCATTGATAGTGATGCCAGTTTTAGTTGCATGCTCGCATAAAATCTGCCAAAAATACACATATGTCAAGATTTTAAATCCCTTTGTGCACCATTTATTCCGCTAACGAGTTTGATCTTGAAGTCTGGCACGCATGCTTTTGCAGGGAACATGTATGAGATTGGATCGTCTGGAATTAGCAGTCTACAGGGGCACATCAAGAGGAGGAATATATAAGAGCCTCAATGATTTCATCTCCCTTCGGAAGAGTGTACCTTGTACCAACTAAATGCTAAAGCTGTAGATGCTAGATTTGAATGGTTCTGGTAGATATTTCTAGCATCTGTATATATACTGTTTGGAGAAGGACGCTATAGCGATTCAGGGTCGGCCCTGGCCCAGTGCAAACGGTGCACCTGTTCAGGACTGAAATTGTTTTGGGGCACTTCTTCCTCCACGAATCGCGACAATGGTGACCAGAGCCTTTCTTCCAGACTTGTGCCCTTCCGTCCCAGCTTTCCTTATCAGCCTCAGAAATCACCCAAAACCGGACTGAATTTTACAGAATCGGTCGCCGTTTCACCACTGCAGTCCCTCTGTGCTCAGCTCATCGAGCTTTCTGGGTACTCTTGCTCGGAGCAACACAGTGAGTACTACACTAACATTTCACTAGAAAATGCCCATTTATATGTTGTGATTAAAGTGAGTAACTTTGAGATACCCAGATTGTTAAATCCACTGCTGCTTGTTTTCCAGATTCTGACGAAAGATGGGTACTTACTGGATTTGAGATGTGAAGGACTAATAGATGTCATGTTTGTTACTGCAATTTCTGTTTGGTTTGAGATGTGAAGTACTAATGAGATTGCTTTGGTGGGGAGTGTTCGCCCTAACTGATCCGTGAGTAAAAATATTGATTCTCTGGACGCCTGATTAGTGAAAAGCCTTACTTTCATAGCTCCTTCCAACTTTTTTCAACATATTGTGCGTTGATTATTTCAAAATTTGAATGTATAGCTCACTATTTGGTGCCCCCTGATCTGAAGTTTTCAGGTTGCGTTGAAATTTCCTTTCTTGAAACTAACTATTGTGTGAAGTGATGAACATCCATCGGATACATTTTAAATTGGGCTCTAATGTGCTTCAAACTCAATTGAAATTGGTTACTGGCTTTTCTTGATCTTAACCAGGTGATGCATGATTCTTAAATTCTCCAGCAGATGAAGGTTTCGATGTATGGGTAGAAAATGTGCGTCAAACACGTTGGAGTCAGGGACACATCTTTATCAGAAAAGAACAAGATTTATGCTTTACTGTAGGATTTTTGGGATTGGAGTTGGCAGGAATTGGCTCGATTTGATCTATCAGAAATGATGCGCTGCATGTATTCAACAAGCTCCAACGTCTTTGTTGTTGGACATTCACAGGTATTAAACCTCTTAATCTACTTCAAATCTCCTTCCCTAGCAGTTACTTTTGGTGTTTACTCAATGTATTCATGTTCTTAGGGAACAATCATGTCTTTAGCTGCTCTCACCCAGCCGGATATAGCTGAAGAAGTGGTTGAAGCCGCCGCTCTTTTCTGCCCAATATCATACTTGGAGCATCACTTCAAAATTTGTTATCTTCTGTACATTATATGCAGCGAATGGGTCGTCAACCTTTTGGATTCAATATGTGATGGTTATGTTGACTGCTTGGAGTGGTCGTATATGATTTTGCTTTTGATTGTCAGGGTTTCAGTACTATGTCCTCCTTGTTGTATGTTTTTTTTTCAAGTAATATAATATGGGCGTGAGGGCCTAGCCCCCCAGCTTCGACTGGTTCCAGCCCTCTATAAATATTTCTTTTTAATTTACTGGTCTAATATCCTAGTGGAGAGGCATTAGGGTTCTCGCGAGTTCGAAACCCGTAATGTAATAGTTTAATACTCTCTCCTTAATATATATATATTTTTTTTATGTATGCAAAGAATTTGTCTAATTTTGAACGTGTAAGAAATGAAAATAGTTAATTGAGTCACTCGTTAAAAGTAAATTATTAAGGAGTTATATTCGGCCTACGGTCCTTTAGCTCTCTCGGTTAGAGATAAGATTTTTGTCAAATGACTATGTTTGGCCTACGGTCCATTGGCCCACTAAGTTGGATATGGAATAAAATAGGGAACTTTAACGAAAAGCACCTGGTACTGTTTACTTTAACCAAAAACCACATTTTTACACTAAAAAGTCAATCATGGTACTATTCACTTTACCCTTTATTTTGTCCTTATCATTAAAACTCAAAGTTTTCAAGCCTTTTCATTAATTTTCCTAATAAAATATGGCCTTACATTTTTTATTAAAATATAATTTTTTGTATGACTATAAAACTATACATGGCCCTTTGACCCTTCTTCTCTGCTTCTCCGGAATTTACCAGTGAAAGAAACCTGTAGAGAAACAGAAAGCTCTGCCTTCTGGTTTGAGAGAGAGAGATGCTCTGCTCCGGCAGACTTTTTGCCGTTTCTTTCCCCGTAAATCGGTGCTGTCCGTACAAACTGCGTAGCTCCGGCTGCTCCAAATTCAGCTACCCAAGAAGCCCCATATCAACAAGCAGCTCCAGATGGTGATCCCTGGCCATGGCTTCGGAGCCCGACTCCTCCTCTTTCGCTCCGTCTGTCGATTCTGATCCCAATCCCGCCGCCGATACAAACCCCGCCGGGTACTCCCCCCTCTCTCTCTCTAGGAAATTAACAGAAAATGAAAATTTTCCAAGCTTTGGATTGTTACTTTGCACTGTGAAATTTATGAGATTGCAGACAGCTTACTGGTCTTTGAAAGTTTGTAACTTTATGTGAAAAACCCATGTGATTTATCTGCTGTTGATGTTAATTAACCCAAAAATTATGGAAATTGCTTTGTAGCCTGTAAATTTTTGTTTTTACATGCTTAATTGTGCAGATTTTGTATCATAGAGGGGCCTGAAACAGTGCAGGACCTTGCGACAATGGAGCTGCAGGAAATTCAAGATAATATTCGGAGTCGTCGCAACAAAATTTTCTTGCATATGGAGGAGGTGAGAGCAATTGCTTGTTGCTACCACTTTCTCAGTTTAGCATGTTTTAAATTACTCTCCAATTGCCATTAGAAATGTGTTCTTTAAGAATGAGCTTCGATATGCGTAGGTTCGCAGGCTGAGGATACAACAGCGGATTAAACGCGCAGAGCTTGGAGCGGTAAATGAAGATCAAGTTTTCCATCATTCATTCCATTTTTGCCTCCCCTGGTAAGCTGCTGACCCTGTGAAGACATTTATTTTCATATCCCCGACCTGTTTTAGCCATAATTTGTTGTAGCCTTTTGTCGGTTCATAAAAAGTTGTGCAAAGTATTAATCACAAGGTGAATTCATTTATTGCGGGGTTTACCCTTTTCGGTGGCCTCATAGCACCCTCCGTATCCGTAAGTTCTTTATGCATTAACTTGTTGTGATTAGTTTTAACAGTTGTTCGTAAACATTATTTTGTTATACTGGTCCGACAAGACGGTTTTGAATTTGCAAGTAAAAAAAATGAGGAAACATGTCAAATAAGTGTAGTTTCTGCTTATAAAACGTGGATTCGGGTATGTTTCTAACTCTTTGCTGACAATTACGTTTACATCTTTCAGTTGGAGTTGAAGCTGGGAATAGGAGGCACATCATATAAAGCAAGACATAAGGTCATCTTCAACTAAGAGGACTAAAGGATTAAAAACTAAAAATTACCTGATTTATTCAAAAATTCATCTCCAACCGATGACTAGATTATAATTCTGTGGAGCCCACTAGACGATTATTGGCCAAAAGTGTATCAGGCTTACCAAATATAGACCCTCTCTTAGCCCTTTTTGGGGATCTAGCTCCTCAGTTGCAATAATTGATTCAAATTAAACAACTAAATTTGAAAACATGCAATGGTAGTTTAATTAAATTAACCAATAAATTTAAAGTATAAGGTTTAAAATAATAAATTATTAAGTGGCCGTGTTTAACCATTTCGGTTAAAGATGATATATGAGTATGGTCTAACATCATTCATTAAAAGATAATTTTTTACAAGAATATAATTTTAGATGGGGCTATGTTTAGACTTTTGTTGGAGATGGCCTAATATGTTGGATAAAGTCTGAGTGATATCATGTAATTTCTACGGACACCAATTAATCATAGGAAAACTAATGAAAAATGTTTGAAAACTTTGAGTTTTAATGTTAAAGACAAAATAAAGGATAAAATGAATAGTACTAGGTTTGACTTTTTAATGTAAAAATGTGGCTTTTCGTTAAAGTAAACAGTGCTGTGAGTTTTTCGTTAAAACTCTCATTAATCATCTGCAGCACCATCAACTTTCTATATGATAAATTGTTATACACTATTTGACCTTTTTTTTTGAAATTGTTATACACTACTTGACCGTTTTGTTTCATGCCACGCAAAACACGGCCAGAGATCAATAGAGTGAATTTTCCAGGAAGAGAGGAGAAAAGGGCAGAGTACAGTAACTCAGCAAAGGAATACAAACGTATTTAGGGCAGGCTTTCCATCCACACTCCTCATTAACCTTTTGACTTTTGAGCCTGCACTAACACTACGCGTCTCCTAGAGTGCCCAATTAATTGCGTAATCAAACTTACCTACTTACCCATGACTGCGCCCATGGCAGGAGAAAAAAGAAAATAAAAGGGCAATAGCATATGGCCACTGGTGGATCCAGGTGCAAAGGAGATGGGCCGGACCGAGTTGGGGATTACATTTTCTTATATAGGAATTGGACCTTACTCGGCCTGGTTGAAATGGGCCGGTTCAGGCCGGGTCCACGGGTTCTTGGTTTTCTTTTTGTTTAGAAAAAAAAAAATTGGAATTTGCACAGATTCACTAATGCAGCAGATTATGCAATAGGAAACCTAAATAATGCAAGAGGAAAGATTTCGATAATTTTCCAATTCCAAATGCACCCACTTCCTTATAAAATCTTCAACATAAACATCTCTGAACAAAGCAGATCAAGACTCAGTAGATCAATACTCACAACAGAAACCCAGATAATATAATCCACAGAAAATTGAAGCGCATAGCGAAATTAACAAAGTTTAAATATTTAACAGGTCATTAGGTATATAGGCATCACAAGAAATCCATGATAAATATGAACAGATCTCGATATGAAAGCTCTAATAGGCTAATATGAAGCTAAGAGTGACCTAACACACATGGAGAGATCTGTGCTCTTCAGCCTTAGCATCTTCATTGGCGGCAACAGCGGTACATTCCACCGCAGAGCTCACAGTCTCGGACTCCATGGCGCCGTTTTGAGCAGCGGAAGCAATGGCGTTCCTGGACTTGACGGTGTCGAGCATGCGCTTGTTAATCTCCTTGGAGTAAACCAGCAGGATTTGAATCTCGTCCTCCTCGGTGAAGGAGGGGAAGACACACTCGAGACGGCAAATGAGAGGTGACAAATCGAGAAGATGGGTGGTGGGGTGGCTGGGTTATGTAAGTCTGGGTCCTTGGGATGTCAAATCGAGATGGCGAGAGAGAGGTGAGAGAGAGGTGACAAATCGAGAAGATGGTGGTCGTCTGGGCCGTCGTGTTGTCGGGGTGGTGGAGGGAAGGAGACGACGCACTGGAGACGGCGAGAGAGACTCGATCAACAGAGTAAGAGTGACAGTTGAATTCGATAAGTTTGAGGATGAGCAAACCTAAAACCAACGATTCAGATTGGATGGAGAGATGATCTCTTCAATCTTATACGTCCATTCTAACTACAAACGGGCAGGTCCGGGTAACCGCGGTTCCTATAGGTACCGTTTGGTACGCAGATGGGACAGAACGGGACGGAACAGGACTGGACGGGACGAGATGGAACAGGACGGAACAGATGATGTAAATATTGAAAAAGATAAGGAGAAATTTTGTCATAAAATGTTATAAATTTGTGTTCCACAGATGTGGAACGGGTCGTTCCAGGGGGAAGAGGTGGAACGAAAAATCAGCCAAATTTTGTCCCATGGAACAACCTGTTCCACAGTTTTTAGGCGCACTAAACGTGGGACGGAACGGCTCGTCCCGTTCCGTCCCGTCCCGTCCCACGTACCAAACGCTACCATACTTCAGGAACCAGCCCGAACCGAAAATTTCAAAAGCCCGCCCTACCTCGCCTCATTTTTATTTTTACAAAATAAGAACCGGTCCGTACCCGCCCCGACCCGCGGTTCCTATACCCGTTTGCCCACCCCTAGGCCAATCCATTAAGAGGCAAGTAGGGGTCATCTAACCCCTCAAATTCTGATGAATCTCTATAGATGATAATTACGTTTACATCCTTCAGTTGGAGTTGAAGCTGGAAATAGGAGGCACATCGTATAAAGACATAAGGTCATTTTCAATTGAGATGACTAAAGGTTTAAAAACTAAAAATGACCTTGATTTATCTAAAAATTTATTTCCAACCGATGACTAGACTATAATTTTATGGAGCCCACCAGATGATTATTAGCCTAAGGGGTATCAAGTTGGTCAAATATAGAACCCCTCTTAGCCCTTTTTGGGGATCCAGCTCCTCAGTTGCAACAATTAATTCAAATTAAACGGCTAAATTTGAAAACATACAATGATAATTAAATTAAATTAATTAATTAATTTAAAGTATAAGGTTTAAAATAATAAATTATTATGGGGCTATGTTTAGCTATTTCGGTTATGCTTGGATATATATATCATTAACAATTAAACCATGATCCTAGTTCAGAAATCTTAACATTGAATGATAATTGTTGCATTTATTGTGTCATTATGCATGCAGCGATTATAACAAGTAATGAGAATTTACTTACTTGTAGAAGAAGACATTGACAACAAGTTTGATCATTTGTCTTCTGTAACATCCCATATCGTCCAAGGGAGTGATCCTTAAATGTATATTCTCATCCCTAGCTAGCACGAGCCATTTTGGGAGATCATTGGCTTCGGGTTTTGTCTGAACTCCGAAGTTAAGTGAGAAGGTGGGCAGAGCACTCCCATGATGGGTGATCCACTAAGAAGTTGCTCGTGAGTTTCCAGAAACAAAACCGTGAAGGCTTAATCGGGGCCTAAAGCGGACAATATCGTGCTACGGTGGTGGAGTGGGCCCGGGAAGTGGTCCGTCCCGGGCCAGGATGTGATATCTTCTCTTCCTTTGGTCACAAAATTGATCCAAGAACACTCAATGGGACTATTTCTACGTGAGGGATCACACACACCTAAGAAGAGAGATCAAAGTGATATATATATATATATATATATATATATATATATGTACGTTCCGCAACTCATCCTCCCATCAAGGATGCAGTTACAAGCAATTTCCTTCGATTAACTGTCGCCAAATTCAAATAATTGTAACTTCAAGTTTCCCTCCTTTGTGGCTCTAAATCCCTTACAAGTCACACATATAAGTCCTAATCCTAAATGAAATACAACCATTTTGTTCTATATAATTGCACTAAACATGAACTGATGAAGCTCACTACATTTTAAGGTTTCATACAGGTTAAAGATAGTACATGAGTATAGTTTGACATCGTTTATTAAAAAAATATTTTTTTGCAAGACTATAATTTTGGACGAGGCTATGTTTAGGCTTTTGTTGGAGATAGTTTATTAATGGTTGTATGTACAATCATGTCCAAGAAAATTTTGGTTTGATCACCAAAAAAGACAGATCAAATCTGTGGATGAAGAGAAAACAAACGATGGGAGATTCAAGTTGGTAAAGAAGATATTTGCATGTTTTGATAAAAAGAAAATATATATGTGGCAAAACGGTTGGACCCATTAATCGCTCGTTAGTGTTCGGGTTGTAACTTATTTTGTGGTGCTGAAAAACGGTTGGATTTATTAATCACTCGTTATAGAAAAAATATAGATATGAATTTATTTTGGTGGAGGCGGCTTCAAACGATAGATCGAATTAAAACAATAAACATAAGAACTCAAAATACGGTTTCATATTATTTTTCAAGGAACACATTTACGATTCTTTTAAGGCAATCATGACACCATAAATTTTATAGAAAAAACCTTCAGAAAATTTGGAAAAAATAAAAGAAATCCTCGCTCATTCAATCATTATGTTTTGATTGATTCTTAGTTATAAAATTTTTGTGTTGTTGGAAAGCATGAAAATTGTTATTTAAATTTGAGAGTGTGTTTCTGAACCATAAGATGCATTTTTTTCTCATTACCATACTTATTATTATTAAATAAATTTAAATTTTTAAATTTGTATTTATTCATTTCACAGATCTCAAAACTTAAACTGATCCAACGACGACATTAAGCGGTGAGCATCACCATTCCCCACAAATCAGATAACTACATTATGTGCACTAATTGTTTATCTACGGCACAACGTAAGGAGTACATTTAAATAGTTTATTTCGCCATGATTTATCAAGTCGTCCGGTGAAGCTCACCACAAAAAGTCTTATTGGTTAAGAGTTTTCATCCAGGTTCGAATCCTGGCACCGGAATACCATTTTTATTTTATTTTTGTTATAACATAAATCCTCCTTCAGTTATTAATATTTTCTCCAACGCATCCAGTGTAGCTCAATTCAATTCTTATGGTTAAGAGTTCTAAGTTCGACTTCTGACATCGAGAAAATATCAAACAAAATCTGACATATTTAATAAGACGAAATTAAGAATTTCTTCACTATTTAAGTGATATATCGCAAATATCAACAAAACTCATCATTTTAGTCGAAATTTAAAAATTCAGTTTTTTGAAATATTAAGATTTGAAATAATACATTTTACCCAAAAAATAAAAAATAAAATAAAGCTCGTTCTTCCGGGAAGGCCTCAGATACATCGGATTTTATCATTATCTCAATAAAATAAGATAATCAAGCAATGTAGGCAAAATATGTTTCGATCATCACCGGCCTCACCCAACAAAATTGCAAAAAACTCATACAACTTCGATTTTATTTTTCGGATAAAAAAAAACAAGCTGAAAATCTGAAATATGAATGGCAAGGATAAAGGAAATTGCTCAAATAATTAAGTAAATAAATAAAAAAGAAACAGAGGCGATGGTGCAAAGAGATGGAGCAGTTGGAAAGGTTTCTCCGACGGAGAAGCAACTGGGAATCCCATCGCCTCTGCGAGGGATTAGTGTGTGAAAGGGAAGAGAAAGGGGCATTTGGGTGCCTCCTGCGGCGGATGTGGAAGGTATTTATAGGGCCGAGGTTTTGCTAGGGTTTTGGAAAAGAGAGGGAGCGTGGGCCGCATCTTTTGACTCCGAGGTGGGTTTGCCAATTACCACCGTTGGATCAAATGTGATGAATTTGATTATCAAATGTGAGCTCGAACTTCGGAACCCGACCCGATATGCAGAATCCGGAGGCATAAGCTAATGTGCTCAAATGGGATATAATGTAATGTACAATTTATTAAGGGTGATGTATTCAAATGGGATTTTGAAAAATTTTAAATTTTTTAATGAATCTAAAGGTATTCAATAAGAATTTTAAGTAATTGTCTAAAATTCAATGTATTAAATAAGAATTTTAAGATAGTTTATTAAAATATTTAGAAATCTGGATGCATTCAATTACGATTTTAAAGAATTTTACAACATTCAATTGAATTTAATTAGAAATTAATTTTAAAGAATTTGAAAAAGTTGAGGAATTCAATTGGAGAGATTTCGTAGTGTATTTTAAACATCCTCAAGTCTCACATCTCCTTATGAGATTTCGAGGGAATTGAATCAAAATTTTACATGAAATCTCTACAAATCAATTAAACTCCATATAAATCTATAAATTTATAAATCTATTAAAATCTCTTAAATCCCCAATTGAACACACCCCTAAATATGTTAAGATGTTTGATAAAAAAAACCAAGTCTGTTAAGATGAACTTGGTATTCAAACATGCGACGAGAGAATTGCGACCCAAACCCATGACTCGAATCCAAGAGTCAGATCTTTGGCTTTTATTCACTGATCGCGGGAAAGATGATAGTGACCTCCAATGTTACCTTACCGAATATTGGAGCTTTCAGTAAGGTAACAATATTTTTATATTTTTCTTATTGATATATGCTTTGTGATAACGTTGGATTGGTCTTGTTGATATTTACTGTTAGATTGTTCGGTATATCATTTGTAGTAAATCTAGTGATTCATGTTTGCTTTTTCACCCTTCATGTTTCACCTGGAAAGTAGTAGTAGTTTTTGGTAACGTCGCAAAATAGTTGGATAGGTTGAGTGTTTCTGGATCAACCGAATGGTAATCAATTAGCTTTGGACTACTAAGTGAGAATTCTTTGGATTAAAGCTTGGACGTGTAGTTTTACTATTTATATTTTATTTTAACATGATTATTACATCATAATGCTTGTGTACCAATTGATAGCTTGACAAAATGCTGAATACAATTCTTTCATTTTTCATGTTCGTGTTCTCATGCTCTCTTTCTTACACAGGATGGAATTGGGCTTCTGATGGATATGATCCCAGAGTGTGTTTCTCATGTCACTGGTTGTCAACAATCACATGCTCTCTCGTTATCATTTCTGTAATTTAGTCACATGTTTGTATATAAATACGACCTAGGTTTCTTTTCTTCATCTTCTCCATAAGTGCCATGAGTGCCAAGGATTTGCTTTCCACTACTTTACCTCCCATAGTATTAAGCTTAGCTTTAATCATTAATAATCGCATGCCATGAATAAAACGTAGATTATGCAAGTTCTAATCTAGTCATTTTTTTTTTTAAATTTCATAATAGCAAAAGCAATGTCTCCTTACATAATATGGATTCCAAACATTCATGATCTAAATATATGAATGAGTCAATTTACTTATTCCTCGGTCTATTAATGAACTAGCTCTCCAGGGATTGTGAAAGGGGGTCGGCCTAGGCCCAGTGTAGGCAGGGCGACCGTCCAGGGCCCAGAAAAATTAGGGGCACCAAAATTATTAGGGTGATATATTTATGTCACAGCCCGTCCCAAAGTTTTACACTCGTGATTGTAAATTGACGGAATTTCCCTTAAACGTGATTAAGATATGTGAATCATATATTGGTGAAATATATGTTTCTAAGTTATTTGGAGATGGAATTTTATGATTTGGGGTTAGGTAGGACCACACACCTCAAATCCCTCCCTATTTCCCGTACCCTGTCTCTCTCTCCTCCCTCACAATCTCTCATTCTCTGTCTCTCTCCCTCTCCTTCAAACTCACACAGACGAGCTCCAAAACCACCCTAAATCTATACCAACGACGGAGTTAAGACCACCATCGAACTCCTGGAGACTCCACGATCACGTAGACACCAATTTCAGGTAAGTTTTACTTCGGAAAAACCTAGATTCTAAACTCCCCGTGAAAGTGCACTGTTCATGATCTTCGAATTGACTTTGTTTTAGGACAATCCAAGCTCACAGTGAGCTTAGTGAGGTTCCAAGGAAGCTCGGAGTGCTTCGTTGGAAGTTTTTGGACGTAAGAACACGGAGATCGACAAGTTCAAAGTTTGGCCGGAGCTTCGAGGCATTTTCCGGCGAATCCCCGGCGAGTTAGGAGTCGAGGTAGGTATCAATCTCTTCGTCTCGTCAAGTACTACAACTTTCCTTTTTGTTTCACTCAATTTCGTTGAGTATTGAAGAAGTTATACTCATTTGAAAAATACCCAGTTTCCGGCGACCTCCGAGGCTTTCGAGGCAGTTTCCGGCCAAACCACGGCGAACTAGGTGTTGTGCAAGGTACCATTCTCTTTGTCTCTTCAAGGGCTACAACTTTCGTTTTTGAATCACTTGATTTCGTTGAGAAATGACAAAGTTATGACAATTTGAAAAACTGCCCGGAAAACGGCCGCCGGAAAAACCAGTCCGGCGACCCAAGGAAGAAGAAGGTGCTACAGTTAAAAAAAATAAATAAATAAAATTATTTTAAAAATATGTCGACGTCCGTGACGTCGAGTAGATCACCGTGGTATATTCATATACCCAATTTGAGCACCGTATGAGAAAGTTATTAAGGATTGTTGGTTAGGTGTTCGAATAACGTTTTATAGTTTTGGTGAAAATGTGAATTGACGATCCGACCGTTGGATCGTTACCAAACTTTGATACGTTGTAATACGTAATATTTGAGGATTATTGGAACTTACGGATTGGGAATCCGAGTTACGGATCTTCCGGAATTGGAATTGTAAGTTCATAAAATAAAATGTTAACCGTCACTTAGTTTTGGAAATTGACGGAGATCCGACCGTTGGATGGTAATGAAATTTTAGGAAGTTGTCCTAGAGGTATATTGTGGACCTCTGGAAGTTATGGATTTAAAATCTGAGTGGCAGATCTTCCGGATCGAACTACGTAGTGACGTATTTTATATAAGTTATATATTCTATCACTATGAATTCTGAGGTTGGAATTAATTATTGTTTTTAGGCGCCGATCGTCATGACGCCTTGGCGTATTGTGCTAGGGAGTTGTAGGGCGAACTCCAGGTGAGTGGGCAGTTTTGTTTTCCGTATACATATATACTTGCCGTTTCCCAGAAATTGAAAATGCATGAAATTATGTTTTTAATGAAAATGTATAAAAGTATATGAGATATATTAGTTGAAATGCCATGCATAAAAGTATATGAAAAGTATATAGAAATGTGAATCGAATTGCCATGCATGAAATGATATGAAAAGTATGAATTGAGATATGATGCATATGAATGAATGGTGCGGCGGACGCACAGGTGAGTATCAGGTGAGTATTTAATTACTGTTATGATGATGTTGATATATATTGAGCTCAAATCCTGCACCAATGGTTTAGTGCTTATAGTATTCACCGCATCGCACGCTCGCCTTGGATCCAAGTAGATGCTAGTCGTACAGTCCACGCGGAGTGGGTACGACAGGCCAGTCGCGAGAGTGTTAGTGAGATTCCGACTGGTGGGTGACCTTAGATTATGTGCACAGATGATTGATGAGAAAGCACTAGAGCATAACTTGTGTGCAGAAGGCCGGACGGGTCACAGAGGTGACTCCGGTAGAGTGATAGTGATAGATTTTGAGCTCTAGGTTCAACCGTACAGGGCTATTAGAGGGCCTCCGGTTGATTACTTTCTTGCACCTGATATGATTATTGTTGATGCATCCATATTTAACTGTTGAATTAGACATGGCATGGCATGATTGATAAAGAAAAATGTTGAGATAGTAAAAATGAAGTTTTGAGAATATATATGTATATTTATATTTTACATTTCTGGGAAAGTATACAGGTTTTACGGAGAGGGGTTACAACGTTTTGAGAAATGTTTGGATTTGGAAAAGAATTGTTTTACTGACCCACTCAATTTTGGTTTTGCGCCCCTCCAGGTTCAAGAATCACAAAGGTGTGGTGACTACGAGGAATTCGACGGTGTTCTGACAGATTGGACAAAATTAGGACTCACCTTCGGGTGTATCAACTTATAAATTGTATCTTAAAGCTTCCGTACTGTGCAAATGGTTACGTCACTCTCACGTGACGGCCAGCATGCCCTCCTTCGGGATGGGGTGTGTCAATTTATGTATGTTTTTATAAGAGTATAAATTTATAAAATTTGGTTCAAAGACATAGAAATTTAACTAGAAGTGGTGGTTTGTCATTTGAAAATAATGAGGAGGTATTGGGTTCAAAACACCATGTGTGCTTATTTACATTTCATTTTTTACAAATTTCTTTTCATAAGAGAATAAATTTATAAAATTTGGTAAAAGGATCAAGAAGTCTACTTAGAGGGGTGTATTCAATTAGGATTCTGAGAGAGTTTCAGGGAATTAATAATTCCAGGGGTATTCAATTAGGATTTTAAGTGATTCTCTGAAATTCTAGGTGTATTCAATTAGAATTTCAAAATAGTTTATTAAAATCCTTAGAAATCCAG